CGCTCGGAATAAAAAAGATTTTTTATTTTATTATAATATTTCGGATCAATATTACTTCTTGCAAAGGTTCCACCGTTTGAAGAACGAATTGTATCCCAAGTAGAAGAATCGCAAAATAAATCATTTTTAATTTTGCTTACTTTTTTTATTTTAATCAATTTCACTTGTTTTTTTTTTTAATAATTCTTCTTAAAAATAACTCTTGGAAATTTTATATTGATTTTTTTTTAGTAACCTTTAATTCTATCAGAGTTTCTCTGCTACAAAAAGCACGATCATTTTATCAAAGTTTTTTTTAATATCTTACAGATTACAAAATTTATATTATTTAGTTTTTTTAAATAGAACGGACGGAATTCTGCCACTCTCTGCTTTGTGATAGATATATCCATTTATTTGCTAAACAAAATTAAATGTAGTTTTTCTTTAATATAGCAAAACAGTGAGAGAAACTAATGATTGGGAAACAAATTTAACTGCCTAAATTTGATCTTTAAACCAGTAATCTTAATTCTAACTCCTAAGAAGAAATAAAATTTGATTTTTCAGGAATTAATTCTTCCACTTAAAAATACAAGAAAAAGCAAACGGCATTAAAAAAAAAATGCAAATTTTAAATAATGTAATGTAACAAAAAATTATATCAGAAAAAAATGTCGTCTTTTTTGGGTAATTTTTGTTTAATAATTGAAATAACATTATTATTATTAATTTAATTTTAATTCCGTAATAAATAATTAAATGATTGTACCTATAGTGAATATATTTGTTCATTATTGACATTTTTTGCTTGACGATAAACACTGTCAAAAGCAATAATTTAAATTTGTATAATAGCCTCTTCATTGAATCGCTAACACTCTCATCAACGAAATAGGTTTGGAGCTTATGTATATAAGCTGAAAGGAATTCTGATGGACAGTTTTAGAAATGAGCCGCTGGCCAGAATTTGTTATGGAAATAAATTGTTGACAAACACAGCGCCCACGTGGTCCGACACTTCACAGCAGCATATTCTGAGCCTAGCCGCCTGAATCCAGATTTGAATATGAGTTAACCTGAGCTTGCGAAGTAATTTTTGTAAAACGAGAACCTTCCAGCAGCTTTATGTAATGTCTTGTGTGTTTTATAAATGTGTTTGACTCGCAGCATGCGACTTTTGTTTTTGTCACATGCACCGCGCGCGCCATTGTAATACAAATTGTCGCGACTTATTCTTCTCATGATTCATTTTCGAGAAACTCGAAGGACTGCCAGGCCAGACCCGTATTATTATATACCCTCGCGCTCTTTGATCTTGTTTATTACAAAGTAAATTTCATTATTATTTGAAACAAAAGTCGAAACGCGGCTGTCATCGGCAGCTAGCAAGAACTGGATTTTGCGGGTTCAAAGAGTTTGAGGACGACTGGATTTTTCTGAACAAAATAATGTAAACGAACGAGGCAACGAGAGGGGAATCCCTGAGGAGTTCATTACCTTCAGGTTTGTTACGTGCCGTTTGGCGCGCAATTCCACGACTGCAAGAATTTTCGCTAACTCGGCGGGGAAGGAAAAAATAAATGCTTCTGAACGGCCGAGAAGTAGGAATTCGGCCTGGCAAAAAAGTGCTTTGAACCCCTTTCCAAGTTCATTCAAACGAAATATGCAAATTAAAAAAAAATTTGGTTGAAAATTTCAAGAAAAAATTAAATGAACTGAATTCAAAAATTATCATTTCAATCTGGTAAATATAAATGATTTTAAAATTGTTTTTTTTTAACCTTTCTCTCGCTTTTTCTTTCAAATATCTCTTTTATATTTTCCTTTTTTTTCAGTGTTTTTTTTTTTTAGAACTTTTTTATTTGGAAAGTTTTTGCTTTTACATGCTGAAATGTTCCAATTTGCGGTTGTATCGAAATCCGTAAAATCGGCAGCCATGATTAGATTCTTTTTGGAACGCACCCTTTCAAAAGTTACGCGTCCCGCAACGACCGTAATAAACGAAATCACAAGGCCAAAACGGGACCCTCGCTCTTTTTTCCAGCGGGCCAAAATCCATTTCCATCGATTATGCATGATCAAAAATGGCGACCGCGTGCCCCAATCGATACATATATTTATTCTTTATTCCCTCCTCTAATTTAATTAGAGACGGACCCCGAGCAGAAAGAGCGGCACACGTGGGCCCCAAAGGTAGGTGCACGCGGCTGCCATTAAAATCGACAGACGGTGCAGTGCTCTTGGCGGGCGGCGCTTTTTTGTCCCAGTTAGCGCATAACAACAAGCGCGGTGCGCTTGGCATACCTGCCGCCAGGGGCGCCACTAGACGAGCGCCCCCTCCGTTGCCTTAAAAGGGCGCCAAGCGCGCTTTTTCCCACGAGACGAGAGAGACGCTGACGCGTCTGCTCTTCAGGGAAAAGGCGCGCACTCGAATATTGTTTCATTATACCATATCGTTGGGTGTCGTCGTCTCCCCCTGTCTGGGTCTGGTTCGCCTCGCCAGTCTGGCCAGGCCGATGCCCAGCAACCGCCCTGGAATGCACTCTCGCGTCTCTCTCTTCTAAAATAAAAATAAGCATGAATAATATGGTCAGACCTTTCGCAATATCTAAATTAACTATATATAAAGTTCAACCGTCGCTGTCGGGGGTTTATTCGAAAACAATTATTCTGGCGGGTAGGCATGGCGACGGATGGTGTTTCTTGACCTTCCGGAGAATGCGTTGGTGCTCCAGGGGCTTAAGCAAGAGGAAGTGCGTCTCTTCAAACAGAGTTGTGGAGCAATTTGTATGAAATTGCTTACAAATAGGAAAAAAACATTTTCAGTCGCAGTATAGAACTTTAATTTATTCTATTGGTTATAAAGAATTCCTTTGTTAAAAAAATTTATATTTTAATTCATAAAATTTTTAATATCTTTAGCATGTAATTTTTAAAGAAAATTAATTAATTAATATTGGAGATAATTGGATCAAAGCTTCAAGAAATTTTATCCGAATTCTTTAAACAAATTTAGACCGCAAATTAAAAAGAATTTTGAGTTACTGGTTTGCTCAAGAATATAAAAAGTCCCAATAAGAAAAATCTGATTTTAATTCTTGTTTAGGACACGGTTAAATTTCTGATGTTTTATTTTAAGGGTTGAAAATTGCTTGTAAATAATTTTGGAATAGAGTGCATAAAATTTTGAAATTCAGTTATCGTTTCATTGCAAGGACGGAAGCATTCACTTTTGAGAAAAATTGATACAGGTCAAGTATGTAGTAAAAAATTATGTGCTCAAATTCTGCTCAAATTAAATTTAAAAAAATATTTATAATCAATTTTATCAAGTAGTGTTATTATTAAATTATTTTTGTTATTCCTCACTTAAAAATTATTTTTAATTAATTTCTTGCTATCTCAAATAGAGCATTTTATATCTATGTTATTTTGTATTTTTGTGCAAACTTCTTTAAATCGTTTTTATCGTTTTAACAACTCGATCTGGGAAAAATAAAGCACCAGAAGAAATTTTGCAATGAAAACATTTAATTCCGACACCGCGTCATGTTGTTTGTGTACACTTTTATGCGTGATTAAAACGCTCTCTTCCGTGAATCGGTCAATAGCGACGTCGCCAGCAACCACTTTTATAATGCGTATGTTATGCGTATATTATACGAGTTTGATTACGGGTAAACAGTCCATTAATCGGCTCAATTGCATTGGAATAAAATTGTTGTGCTGGCTGGCGGCGTGTGTTATTTGCTGCGGTGGTTGGCATTGCATTCCGTCGCTACTTCCAAGGAATCCCAGCGACCGACCCGAGCCAGAGCAGACTCTCGTTAAGGTCGTCAGCCAAGTGGTGAACGGCCGTGAACCACCACGCCTACATCGCAATCTCGCCGCGCTTGTCTCCCCCTTTTTTGTATTAAAAACGCAGTTTTTTACCTGCCGAGCTGCCACTTGGCCTCGCCTGCTTCCACGAGGCGCTTTTCGCACACTCGACAATTCGCCTCAGTTTCCTCCTTCCCCTCTAATTGAAATTATTCACCTTCAAAATTTTCTGAAGAATGTTTTAATATATCCGTAATTAGCTGGATATCTTATTTGGAAAATATTCATCCTGGAGGCCGTTTTCTCACGATTAAATAAAATATTGAAAAATTTGACAAAATAGGAATTGTCGGTGAAATAGACGTTTTTGCAAAATAATGCTGCAAATCGCACGACATTAAATAATGTGTTATTATTTATTTTCACTCGTATTAATTTAATTTAAATTCCTTCCGAATGGCAGACAAAAATATCGTATCTGAAAATAGTTTCTTTCAATAATGTAATGATTTTTATACATTTTTTTTGCGCACTTATTGCTATTATCTTTCTGTAAAGATTAAATTAAAAATAATTGATTCAATTTTGTTTGTTAAGCTGTTGGGGATAATTAAAATTATTAATTTTGTCAACGCAATTTATAAACAATAATAATGCCTAATTGTGCCTATTGTAAAATATTATTTTCTATCAAATTGAAATGAAGCTTTGATAGTGTATTATTAAATTCATTTATAGTTACATTTTCAATATTTATTATATAACCCGTCTCTGTTCCTGCAAAAAGTATTAAAATAATTTTAAAAATTGAAATATAAACTGATAAAAACATAATATAAATTATAATGTGATGTGAAAATATTTAAATTATAATTTTTGTTTAGATTTTTTAAATTTTAAATTTACTGAAAATAAAATATTTAACTGCCGGCAGTATGTACACAGAAAGTTTGTTATTTTTTGTAATTCCAATCTCAAAATGTAAAATTTTAAAGTTTAAATCACAATTTCATTCATTTATGCATAGATACGAGAATTGTTTTATAATTATAACAGAAAGAAAAAAATATAATTAATATAATTTAATTACATAATTATATTTCTTTTTTCATTCTTCATTGAGCACTGCACGGATCAGACCTTTAAAACGATAAGATTTTTACAAGGTCATTCCTAATAAAAATGCTTTTGTCCAACAGCTCCACTCACTCCAGTGCCTCTCGGCAGTTTTCCTAACTATGACGCACATCCGCATAAACAAAAATAAACGCACGTGTATCTATTTTGATCCGGTGAACAGGATTAATTTCCAGCCGCACGCTTATGCAAACACGGAAATATGAAGACGGGTGAGAGTCACAAAGTGATCCCTTGCGATGACAACAACAGCCGCCCTCGATGTCCTCATGGTAATGCTGCAATCTTAGTTCTATTTCTAACTGGACTTCTATCTATGTTTTTTGCAGGACCAATGTTGCTGTTTGAGAAAACGTGCGGCTCAAAATCGACGAGGTTTTTCGCTTGTGCAGCTTTCAGGTCGCGAAACGAATGCCAGTTTTATCTACCAGCTGACCAAAATATTCCTAAAAAGAAAATCTCCGAGCTCGAAGAGCGGTGCAAGACGTTTGTCAAAATCTCAATTTTGGATAAGAATCAAAGGCATTGACTTTTTATTTTTTTTTATTGATAATAATTTCCAAAATTTTAACATTTTTACAGGCTCAAGAATCTAACTAAAAATAATAAAGTAAATTCAAACATCTTCTGCCATTCATGCACTAAGTAATTTTTTTTTTTTTTTTAATGAGGCCAAATTTTTTATAATTTTTGTTTCAGTTTGATTACTTCCTCTGAAGTAAATGTAGGTCATAAAGGTCATAATATTGAAGCAAGTGTTTCCTTAGAAAACCTCAAAAAGCCTACAAGGGTAATTAAAATTATTCAAATTTAATAATTGAATCATTATTAAATTTTTTCAGCTTTTGCGGTCACTGAAAGAGACAACCAAAGAGGCCCAATACTTTTTCTCCGAGCAAAGCTCCAGATTTATCCTATCAACCCTGAGCAGACTTGGAGCAAGAACTGTTATTTCAATCGGCACTCCATCCCTCGTAGAGAAACTTGAACCAACCAAAAATTTTTACTTGCTAGATTTTGACTGGAGATATGTAAGTAGTTCCTTATTTTACATTTATTGAAAACTACAATTATTCAATTTAGGGAGTTTTTTATGGTGAACAGTTCAGCTGGTACAACATGTTCAATCACCACTTTTTGGAGACAGTCGAAGACTCAAATGGTCTTGAAAGCAAGGCTAGATTTGGGAGTTTCTTGAACAATTTACCAAAGGAAGAGCCTGTTTGTATTCTACTTGATCCTCCTTTTGGTGGAAGGGTCGAGCCTATTGTTTGGACGCTAAAGAAATTGGTCTCTGAGATTCGAGAAACGGGTTGCGTTGGAGATGTGTACTTTCTCTGGGTGTTTCCCTACTTCATGGAGCCATACATAGTTAACTCTCTTCCAGGAACCTCAATGCTTGACTACAGGATTGATTACGTTGACCACAAAATGTTTAATTCTGGTAAATTTACAGCCTTTAATTTTAAACCAACTATTAATTTTTGTATTTTATCAAATTTAGCAAGCAGACGAGGAAGAAAAACTGGATCTCCAGTAAGAATATTCACTAATGCTCCTTTGCATTTGATTGTCCATCCGGTGGAGGAGGGATATCAGTTTTGCAAAGAGTGCCAGAAGTATGTTCACGAGAGCAACAAACACTGCAACTTCTGTGGCACCTGCCCTTCCAAGGTTTATTAAAAACATATATCATATTATTTTTTTTTCAAATTAATAAATTAAAATTTCTCAGGCTGGTGGAACCTACAAGCACTGTGATAAATGTGAAAGGTGTGTTAAGCCTAATTGGTTACACTGTGCGTCATGTTCAAAATGTGTAACCAAAACTCATGAATGCTTATTGAAGAAAAGGAAGGAACCCGACGTGCTTTTCGCTAAGAATCGAAAGAAACAGGCAAAAAAGTAACAAATGTAAGGAAAAAGAATTTAAAAATTAAATTTTGGGCATTGTAGACTGAGATTTTATACAAAATATATGTTAAACAAAAGTGTAATGAGCATAAATTGCGTAATTAATAACTGACAATTTCCAAAATAATCAAGCTGATTACAAAATCAGTTTCTTCGGTTGTTCCCAAGGGAAGATGTCTCGACCAAAGTGGCCATAAGCACTGGTCTGCTGGTAAATCGCATTCCTCAAATTCAGTTCCCTAAGTAAAAATCCAATTAGAATTATTTTGGATTATCTTTTTTTAATCAAATACTTGACGATCTTGCCAGGACGCAAATCGAAGTTTTTCTTAACAATATTCAGCAGCTCCTCGGGAGTTTTGTCAGAGGTGCCGTAGTCGAAGACTGAAATCGACAGAGGCTCGGCGACTCCAATAGCATAGGAAACCTTAAATCATTTGAAATTTTAATGTAACATATTTTCTGGAAATATTTATGTACCTGCACAAGGCAGCGCTTGCAAAGCTTTGCCTTAATCAGGGACTTGGCCACCCATCTAGCAGCATAGGCAGCAGACCTGTCCACTTTGGTAAAGTCCTTGCCGGAAAAGGCACCGCCACCGTGAGCTCCCCAGCCGCCATAGGTGTCAACAATGATTTTCCTGCCAGTAAGTCCGGCATCACCCTGAAAATTAATATTTATAGAAATTTCTCTTCCTAAATTAAATTTAATAATTCACAAAATCTTTAAACAGTTTTTTACCTGAGGGCCTCCAACAATGAATTCTCCGCAGGGATTGATGTGGATGATGGTCTCGTCGTCAATGTACCTCGAAGGAATCACCGTCCTGATGACCTTGTTCTCGACCTCTTCGCGCAGCTGCTCCAGGCTGACCTTGTCACTGTGCTGGACTGACACAACCACGGTGTGCACCCTTTGAGGCACACACGCTCCGTTGACAAACTTGTATTCGCAGGTGACCTGACAATGAGATACGAGGTTTGTTTTTTATGAAGTCTACAAAAATTTTTAATTGACCAGTACCTGAGTTTTGGAATCGGGTCTGGCCCACCAGAGAATGCCCGCTCGGCGCAGGTCGGCCAATTTATTGTTGAGCTTGTGGGCCAGAACGATGGTCAAGGGCATGCACTCCTCGGTCTCATCCGTTCCGTAACCAAACATGATGCCCTGTGTTTTGTATTAATCACGATAATTATATTTATTTTCAATCCCAATAACTAACAAAACTCATTTTACATGATTTTAATTTATAGCCCTTATATTTCCAAATTAAAACTAAATTTATGATAATTAAAATTATGAACATTAAATTTATTTGTTTTTGAAATATAAAAATTAAGATTATCCTGGTAATTGGCCCCCACATCTTGCTCGCATCTATTCTCATTGCAAAAAAAAGTTAGCAAAATCTGGTGTGATTTTACTTCATTCAACTGCAAAGTTGCCAAAAATTTAAGTAATCTATACACACTCCCATAAGGCCCCTTAATATGATTAAAAAAGCGAAATAAAAATGGTAAAATATTACTCAAAGATTTACTGCAAATGAGCCCAATGAGAATGATGAGAATTTATTTTGGTGCAGTTTTTTTCATAGCAGAAATAATATGGCAATAATTATTAACCTGGTCTCCTGCGCCAATGTCCAGTTCTCCACGGTTGATATGCACTCCCTTTGCAATATTAGGCGACTGCTGTTCAATAGCAATTAGTAGATTGCAAGTTGTGAAGTCAAAGCCTATTGAACCCACCAAAAAAATAATTTTATTTTTTTCACAAGCACATAGTTTAATTTTTACCCTTTGATGAGTCGTCATAGCCGATGTGTTTCACAGTATCTCTGACGACCTTTTGATAATCAACGTTGGCCTTAGACGTGATCTCGCCGCAAATGAGAATCATCCCAGTTTTGGTCACAGTCTCTGAAATTTATTCACAATAGTATCATTCGATGTTGATAAAAACTTTTGTAATATAGTATTGCGAAAGCGCTCACCACAGGCAACTTTGGCGTTTGGATCCTGTCTCAGATGTGCGTCAAGAACGGCGTCACTGATCTGATCGCACATTTTATCTGGAAATTAAATTTTAATTTACTAAATTGCGCAATATTAAATAAATTATTTTAATCAAAAATTGCTTATTAACAGAAATTTTCTGATTATATCACAATTATATTGAAACTTCTGCTGTATTAATGATCGGTATTTTTAAATTCAACTTTTTCTTATATTCAATTTGTAACTTAATTAAATTTTTGAAAAATTGCAGTTCATAGCAAAATGATTTGATATTCAAATCTATTTTTGTTTTAATTGTTTTAATTTATGCAATGGGAGTGGAACAAATAATTATTTACTGCCATGTTAAAAAATTTCCCTAGATATTAAAAAAGAACTTCATTTTTAAATCCGACCAATATTAAAAGTTTCTTACTAAGAAAATTGTGTACATTTTTTTGTTTTAAATAGCGTTTTGTTTTCAAAGATATGTAATTTTGAATTTATTTTGATTAAAAAAATGTATCGTCCCCTACCTGGATGTCCTTCTCCCACGGATTCCGACGTGAAGAGGAAAGGGTCGGAGACAATAGTGGCTCCGCTGCCATCGTTCTTGTAGCCGTTCATCTGTCAAAATTTAAAATTTTTCCATTAATTAAAAGTAACAAGGTACCTAAGAGGAGCTCAAAGGGGGAAAATACAATTTGCACCCTGCTACTACCGCGTGCAAATTTTTTGAGTACAAACCTTGGGTGCCGTGCAATATCCAGTAGAGAGCGACTATAGAAAAGTGAGCTCGAGAGGCGTGGGATTCCCTTTTAAAGCCTTGTAGCCCCTGACCCCTGACATGACCACCAAAGGCCCTGCTTTTGCTTGTGAATGCTGATAAAAGCTCCTAAAACGCTTGCGATTTTTGTTATCAATGACTTGAACAAATGGGCAGTGCTCTCTAAACTATAAATAGTTTAATAGGTTTAATACAATTAATTTTATTCGCGATGGACCTTGCGCGACTCTATATTCTCATACAAAATTTTTGCCAAACATCAATTTAATATTATTTTTTAATAAAAATGAACTAAATAATAATTATTTACAATTTACAAACAAAAATATTTAAAATTAATTTGTCTATATAATTTAAATATTTAATTAATATTAAACATTATAAAAATAAGGAAAAAATTATTAAAAAAGTCCAAATATCCTAAGGGAAAAACTGCATCTTGTTTTTACTTTCTCAATTTTAATTTGTTTTTAGCATTATTTTAGAAAATTTCAAAATCTCTCGGAGCTCAATAAACACTTGATATTAATTTGAAAAAAAAAATGTGAAATTTTTTGCTTTTAATTTACTTAATTTGACCTCGATTTGTATTTATTTCATTTTTTTATTTATAAGTTATATTTTACATGGGATTCTGAATTTCAAATTATATGCAACATATCCATCATTTATCATTTTTTTATTTAAATAATAATTAAAAACACAAATTTTATTAAATTCATTTTACTACAAGAATGTTGAAATCATTATTAATTAATTTTCCTAATACAAAACACCAGTTATTTTGATAAGCCGCATGTTCAGTATTATTTGTGATTGGGCGCTCTAAAGTTGAGGGACCTCGTCGCTGCGTGGAGCAAACTCCAAAAAGTACATAACAAAAAAGGCAAAAGCGCGATCGGTGGGTCGAGTCATTTACCGCGCCATTGAATGGGGGCTGTGTGTGGTGTGCCTTCCATTGAAATCTGAATCAATCTAGCCGCTCTCTTTCTCTGCTTACATGGCGAATCAATATAACGACAAGAAGAAAATAAATCCGGCCCTTCTGAGACGATATAGAGCTGCGTGCTTTGAATTGGTTGTGGCAACAAAAAAGCGACCAGCTGACCCTTGTTTTGCCCTCGCGCTGACCCCAACATGTTGACGTCAAAAAGTGGAGCTTGCCTGCTGGTTGCACAAACGCATCCTTGACCCCCTGCAAACTGAAAGTTTAAAAAAAATCATTTTTCCTCTTGATTTTTATTTTTTTGTAAAGGTAATATATTATTTTTGATATCATATAAGAAAAATTTGCAAAAATGTATTCATGGAGAATACAAAATGACAACATTGAGATTAAAAAAGAAACTTCAAGTAGTTGGAACATCACTGGAATGGAAATTGAAAAGCAGTTATGAAAATATTTAAATTAATTTTTACCTGAATTTGCACGATGCCTCGACTTGAGTGCATAAAATTTGTTTACACACCATAATATTATTTTTGCATTTTTTTCTAAAATATATCATATCAAAGTAATATTCCTTATAAAATTTAATTTTTTTTAAATTCTTTTGGACATGACGTCATATAAGGAAAAAAATAAGACAAAATTTTAATACAACACAACATACAGTTTTTTTCTATTCTTTTTCATTAATGCGCCATAAATAATTTGACGCAAACAGCATGACGAATTTAGTTGGCTTCATAATCATAATATTATTGCGGCGTAGAATATAGAAATGGTTGATAGAAATTACAAAAGTTACCAAACCCGGCCTCAACTTTCAAACTGGGTGGCGTTTTCCCGCGCTTTCGCGAGCCGAATCTGTTCTGCGGCCATTACTCTTTGCAAGCACAGGCGTTTTGTTAAAACAGTATTCACCCGGGGAGCAGCGATTTTCTCCAAAATTCACAGCCAAAAACGGTGCTAACAAGGTGAGTTGACGTCTTAATTGGTTCTTCCATCTTTGCAGACGTCGGACATATTCAGTTAGGACGCAACTTGGCTGGAACTCGAAGTCAAAGTGTGGCCTCGAACGCCGATCGCGACTATAGAGGCTATAGCGAGGTGTTGTCCACCTCTTTTGCTGCACCAATTCAACTTGCAGATCGATTCTGCAGCCGAAAACGGCGTTGCCTTGGAAAACGTCCGGTTCCAATTTCAATTCGGGATTTTTCCTCGCGTTTGGAAATCCATGCATCCAACCGGTCTCCTGCGTTTTTCGAATTCTTCGAATCGCTAAGAATTTTGTTTTGAACGCGTTTTATTTTCTTTTGCAGATGAGCAGCCACAAGCTCAAGTACAAAAACACTGGTCTGGACTCTCAGGAGCTGCGGCGACGGCGAGAGGAAGAGGGTGTCCAGCTGCGAAAGCAAAAGCGCGAGCAGCAACTTTCCAAACGCAGGAATGTCAATATCAATGCCGCCGAGCACCAGTTCGAGGAGCCCACAAGCACCACCTCGATGCAGGCATGAGACTCTAGAATTTTCCTAGCTACTGCACAAATATTTGCAAACAAATCAAAGACATTGAATTTGAGTTGTAAAAGTTAAGATGGTTTTTAAAGAAAGGATAGATGTTGTAGCCGGTGATTATGTAAAAGATGAAATTCGCAAAAGATAAAATTTTTTAATTTATAATTCTATTATCTGTGGATACAAAGCAACTTCCACAATCTTTCAATACAAAATTTCAGTTCCTCGAAAGAAAAAAAAAATATAATTTTGGCCAAATTATGTGAAAAAATAATCTTCATTAATTATTTACTAATTTTGTTTTTTCTTCAGGATGATCTGGTGGCTCAAGTGTCCCTAAGTGGAATCACGTCCGAAATGGTGCAATCCTTGTACAGCAACAACATTGAAGAGCAACTCTTGGCCACTCAAAAGTTTCGCAAGCTGCTCTCAAGAGAACCAAACCCACCGATTGATGAAGTCATACAGACGGGCATTGTGCCCCGATTCGTCGAGTACCTCCACAGCTCAAATGGCACCCTTCAGGTTTGACCCTAATTTCTATTTCGTTGGCTTTTTCTAACCTTTTGTGCAGTTTGAGGCTGCATGGGCCTTGACAAACATCGCCTCTGGTACATCCCTGCAAACAAGGATGGTCATCGACGCTGGTGCCGTGCCCATGTTCATCGAGCTTCTCAGTTCGAGCAACGAGGACGTCCAGGAACAGGCAGTCTGGGCTCTGGGCAACATTGCTGGTGACTCACCTGAGTGCCGCGACCACGTTATCCAGCAGGGAATCCTGGTGCCCCTTTTACAGTGAGTACATTTTTTAAATTTTATGCTTTACTGTTGACTTTTTTAATTAATTTCTTCTGCAATCTGACATAGTTTTATTTTTACTATTCTAACTTTATTTTTATTCCAACCCGAATAAAATGATATAAATATTTCCAATTTTTCTATAATATAATTTTAAAATAAAATGATAATCAAAATAAAGAACCCTGAATAAAAAATTAAGATAATTCCTGAAATTATCTAGCTGGTGGTGTTCGTTGGGCTTAAATTAAAATTAAAATTAAAGAATGACAATATTGGGAATAATTTGAATGAAAAGATAATTTTTAAATCCCGTATAATTTCAACAAGCAATAGTATTGCTTAACTTTTTCTAATTATTTTACTTACTTTTTTTAAATTTATAAATTATTTTACCTTTGCAGGCTACTTGGAAAAACCAACAGAGTATCAATGACCCGAAATGCCGTGTGGGCTCTAAGCAACCTGTGTCGTGGCAAAAACCCGCCTCCCGACTTTCACAAGGTGTCGCCCTGCTTGCCCGTGCTCTCTCGCCTGCTCTTCCACAACGACGCCGATGTACTTGCAGACGCCTGCTGGGCTCTTTCCTACCTCAGCGATGGCCCAAACGAGAAAATCCAGGCAGTCATTGATGCTGGCGTCTGCAGAAGACTTGTCGAGCTTCTCATGTAATATGAAAAGATAATAATTTTTGTCGATGTTTATTCTTTCCTGACTGAATTCAGGCACAACCAACACAATGTGGTTTCGGCAGCTCTACGAGCCGTTGGTAACATTGTAACCGGCGACGACGCTCAGACACAGATGATCCTTAACTGCTCGGCCTTGCCGTGCCTGCACCACTTGCTCTCCTCTCCGAAGGAAACCATTCGCAAAGAGGCCTGCTGGACTATATCCAACATCACGGCCGGAAATAAGCAACAAATTCAGGTATAATTAAAAATTTCCTTCAAATTTGTGTAATAAAAATTTGTGATTAAATTTTTAGGCTGTGATAGATGCCAACATTTTCCCTGTGCTCATCGACATTCTCAGCAAGGCTGAATTCAAAACAAGGAAAGAAGCAGCTTGGGCCATCACAAATGCCACCTCAGGTGGCTCCTCTGAGCAAATTTTCTACCTATCAAATCAGGTAAAAGTTTCTGAGTCTTTAAAACTGACCAAATTATTTACTGGAAATAATATTTCAGAATTGTATCCCACCTCTTTGTGACCTGCTGACAGTGCAGGATGCAAAGATCGTTCAAGTAGCGTTGAATGGTTTGGAGAACATCCTGCGCATGGGAGAGCAGGACTGCAAAAACAAAGCAGTCAACTATTATGCTGTTTTGATTGAAGAGTGCTATGGTAATTTTGTTAAAAATAATTTCTATGTCGAGTTTTAAAATAAATCTTATTACTTAGGCTTGGACAAAATTGAATTCCTACAGTCACATGAGAACATGGAGCTTTACCAGAAGGCGTTTGACATCATTGAGCATTACTTTGGCAGCGAGGAGGAAGACACTCGAGTGGCGCCTTCGGTTGACCCCACACAGAATCAGTTCCAGTTTGGAGCTCCTGAACAGAATGCCCCCATGGGTGGTTTCCAATTTTAACAGCAGACGTCTACCACTACAAGATGGAAGTTGAGCATTGTTCTATTTTGTTTGTCACTGCTTGTGAAGATAAGTCTTGAAAATATTTCCTGTTTTTTTTTTTTTTTTATAATATGATCGGAACCAGAGGAATCTCCTGGTATATTTGCCCCTGACCTTCTTCATATCTGTCAACTTTTGATTGTATCTGACAAGCATGTTTTTACGAGTGAGATGAAATTAATATTTTTTCGGCCCACGAAGAAAGGTGCTCTTGTACACAATGGATAAATCAAAGAAAAAATGATTATAAAAATGATCTACAGATATTTCGCCTTGGAAAACCAGCAATGTTTGTTGAGTTTTGTCAAAGAAATGCGATTAGGTGCTGTGTTGAATAAACTTAACGGTAGTTAACATGTTAATTATTGATTAATCACAGAAAGTTAATTTATAACGCTAATGCAACACCATTACTATTGTAATTATCATTGCTCTGTATTTTCTTTTTTCGGATAAATAAATATTTGTTGAAATTTAACAGAATTCAAAGTAATGCAAGTGGTTTTATTTTGAAGAATATTGCGAAAAATGCGTTTTTTTTATTCAATAAATAAAACATTAAGACTGAACAATCACAAAATCACCTTACATGCTAAAATTCATTCACAATGTGTACTTTGCGAATTTAAATGTTAGGTCTGTCGAAGCTGCGACAGACACACCATCACCGATTTAGACCTCTTTTACGCTAAAACAATACTATTTATTATGCGATTCAAGGGAGATTGCATCCAAGTGGGAATGGAGTGCTTCTGTTTGGGCCAGTCACAAAACTGACCAGCCTTCTTGGGTAATCACAGATCGCCGGACCAACGTCATAAAGTTCCTCTGCGTGCTTCAACAATGTGCCATTTCTATGATAACAAACCAGAGGTTTGAGCTCATATTTCTAGTAATTTCCTTGCTTTACAAAACATATTAAGTCAAAGGTGCACAAAATCAGTACGTCATTTAACACAAGGAAAAATTGTGCTGCGCTAAAAAAAAGAACACAATTTTAATAGGTTTGGAACAGAAAACAAAATTCTAAAATTTTGGCAATGCTCAACTCGTCGTCATTTCTCTTTTGTCCTGTTTGGATGCTACACCTTGTAGCTGTACATGAAAATAGAGAACATAACCAGGAAGGCACCAAATGCAAACTGCCCCGTTACAACAAAGTCGAAAAGGAAAATGGATGCAATGCAGGAAATCACAATGGCCAAGGACGTGGCAAATCCTTTCAAAATATTGTCAGCGTACTTCACTACCATGGCAATGATCAAACCACCAAGAGCTTGGAGCGCAATCAGGAACCTGGAAATTTTTATAATAAATTTTACTCATTCAACCGTTTGACACAAAAACTCACAATATAAATCCGTCGTATCCAACAAAGAACCCTTTTTCTCTGATAGCCTCTCCGTCTGAAAGGACACAGGTGATGAGGCCAAATGGTATCGAGAGCAGCGACAACTGCACATTCCTCATCCACACTGATATGACTGAGCCCTTGAGGATCTTCTCAAAGTAGATGCCGGCAAATCCTGAGCAGAAACAGGCACTGACTGCCGAGATGAGGCCGACTAATCGATTCTGCTCCAGGTGATTCAGCTTGGCCTCCTCGACGTGTGCCAGTTGCACCAAAACAACGCCTGCAATGAGCACCAAAAGGGAGGACCACTGGATCCTGCTGAGCGAACGGTGCAGGATGAGCACAGCAAAAAAGGCGGTTGTCAGAATTTTTAGTTGGTACGTCACCTAGAATTTAGAATAAGAATATTTAAATTATTTTGCAAAAAAAATTATTATATAAACGAAAACGCTAATTTTCTAATTGACTAATTTTTTTAAATTTAAAAGTAATTAAAAGCAAAATACTTTTTTCTTAATAGTTACAAACTTATATGCACTTATATGCACAAGAAATGTAAAATGTCAATTTGTTTAGAGACTCCTTTGTGACGTACTTGATAAGTTCCGACGTCCAAATGAGTGGCGGACACGTAGAGCAGGTTGTTCTGTACAATGTAAATGAGCGACGGCACGCACACTTTCAACGTGTCTATCGGGTTGAGGATGATGGTCTTATGGAGACTGTGTTTCCATCGGTCATAGGTTTTCTCCTCTTTGAAGACAAGAATCAGGCATGTGATGAGTTTGACAACTTCTGCCGACAGAACAGCTGCGGAAATTTGAATGAAATCATTTTTTAACGGATAAAATTAATTTTTACCCGAGGAGGAGAGGAACATGTCTCCCTCTCTTCTCCGTGCGTAGGACATGCTGATGCCAAGGGTTGCGTTCTGCAGGGTGAGCACCATAAGACTGACGTAGCCCAACCATTTTGCGGAAGCTGAGAAAATAAAACAAAATAGCGGTCAATTAAAATTAAAATTAGAAAATGTGTTACCATAACGTGGCATGCTCACTAAAATGAGAGAGTCGCAAGTTGTGACTAAATTATTTTGTGCACATTTAGAATTTTTTGCATTCATTATCTGATTGCAAGGTTGAAGAAAATTTGTAAACTCGACAGTTTATGTTTTGGGAAGGAAATACAAAACAAACAGCCAAAGTTAGGGGGAGGAAGCTAAGGAGGAGGGGGTTTGTTATTTGATCTCGGGTCTGGAGATAAAAATAAACAATTTTATTTGAAGAATCAATGAACTCTCTGCGAGTTAAAGTTCTTTTAAGTTTAAATTTTCTTCATAATCATGAAATCAAATATTTTTGAAATATTTAAAAAATGAGGAGGAATTAAGAGTGAAAAATAAAAATTATTAATTTAAAAATAATTACCATGAGCTGACGTGGACATTTGACCCGACGCGTTTATTTTCTCGAGCAACTCGCCCGTGTCCTGCAACCAGAGCAGCAAAAGTGGAATGAGAAAAGCGGATTAAATATATACGAGACAAAGAGAAATAAATGCGGCTCGTCAAGGTCCAAGTGAAAGTGGAAACCAGTAAACTTTAAAAACTTTTTACATCATTGGTGACGTTAATTTTGTGGCTGTCTCTATTGTTGATGAGGTGGACAAGAGGGGATTCAATATTATTCATCTTGTCACTTTTTCTCTGCCACATATTATCTCAAAGACCACGTCAACAAATATCAAATTCCTGAAACTGTTTTTACCTTGTATAAATGCTGAGCAGTGAAATTACACAGAGATAAATAGAAGAGTTGCCATAAAAAATAATAATCAAAATATTATCGGCAGATAAAAGTAAAAGGTCTATGATATACCTTGGCTATGTTGATTTTAATGTTCCTGCTGTCATCCTGGTAGAAGTTTTGAGCAGTCTGGTGACGCATGCCGGCCGGCCTCACCCACGACTTCACCTTTTAGGGTGCTGCAAAATTGATAAAACAATTTTTTTTATCACTTTATAGGCGAAATAATAGTTGGGCGAAACAAGTACGATAGATTGTGAAAATTGTGAGAATGATAAAAAAAAATACTACACTGCGCAATGAAGATTATTTTTTGCATGAAAAAATTTGCATAAAACAAATATTTATTATTATTTTTTTCCTTATTACGTCTTTTCTTTGGATAACTTGAGGTTTTTGATAATATTTTATTTGGTGCCTTTAAGTCTGGCTAGGATGCTGAATTTCTTGGTACGAGCTGTGAATTTTAATAAACCTTAGCTTATTTATTCTATTTATTGAAAAACTGCATAACACAGCATAATTATAAGTGTATTACAACCATGCACTGTTGTAGTAAACGTAAATCAACACTTTTTGCGACTAAATGTTGCCAAACACAAATTAATGATTATTGTTTGAAATTAAGGGGCTCGAGTGGCCGAGTTTCATGACAACTTTTCTCTTTTTGTGTGCAATTTAATGATCAAATTTTAACCTTACTGTATGTTCAGTATTTATCGTTTGATAAGCTTAATAAAGTTAAAATAATAATAATAATTTATTTATTTATTTACTCTACATTCAAATTGATTTAAGTAAAAATTTCATGTCTAATGAAAAAAAATCATCTTAAAATTTATAAAAAAAAAACTTGAAATATTTTCCTTCCAACCGCGTCTCCATTAACAATGTGTTGATTCACACTTAATATTTATCGTTATCAGATTTTTTGGGGTCAATCATACAATCATGCTGCTCTTTTGTCTTAAGTAAACAACGCTAAACAGTGCAAACAGTCGGCGAATACATATTAACAATTCGCAAAATCAAGAAATTTTTAATAATTTAGAGATTTATTGGCGAAAGCAAGCGCCAACCTTCTCAGTAAATTGTACATTACCCTAGCAGTTAAGAGCTTCAAGAGTGAAATGACCGGAAAATTGTCCTTTTCCGCAGAAATGACAGCGGGCAACACGTCAACAAAACACGGAGACAGGTCAATCCTCTTTCCTCTTCCTCCACCTGGACAGACAGACGGCCTTGAAAAAAATGTCACGATAACCGGTGAAAGTTGTCACTTTTTTCTAAACCGGTTGAATATTCAAAATTTTTTTGACAAGTTTGGCAAATAAATTCACCAATTATCTGATAAATTAGTATCATTAAAATCAAATTTGTGTTTGAATGAGATATTTTGGTATGTAATTACATTTTGAAACTAGAAATTAAGGTTTGAATTCTACCGATCACAAACAACCGATAGTGCAAAACAAATTTACTAAAAAGTGGGCGCGGTCATTTTAATTTAAACTTCCCGCTGTTGAATTTTACTGCATTCAGCGCCATCTAAGACCAATGGAAATCATTCATTCGCGGGTTTTCTGTCATTTTCAGTTTTGCGCAGATTCGTACGCATTCCATTCTGCCGCAGGAACAAAACAAACCGCCGTGTTGGTCCGTGATATGAGGTTGTCCCACGTCTGTACGAGATTTCGTCCCGCCTGACGTCATGTCTGCTGATGCAGACCCGGAGCTGCTGGATCTCGTGTCCAAAAACCTAGAGGAAGAGGGATATCTGTACAAAATGCGTGTAAGAACCGCAAATCTACGTGACCATTGTTGATTTTGACAACTCACCGCACTATTTTTCTTTCGCAGGCTCAACTCCGAGCGAAAATTTTCCAAACTTTGGAGAATCAGTTGAACCCTCAGGTATCATAATAGTTTGAGTATTTTTTCTTCGGAGTATTTATGCTAATTTTGACAGAAACCGCCCGCTCGAACGCAACTCCAAGAGTTTTTGGGTACCTCTGAGGGGTTGATCGTCGCCAGTTTGGTGAAAGATTTCCTCGACTTTTACGGCCTTGGCTATGCAGATGGATACTTCCAGCCTGTTGCTGCCTGCGGAGTTGATTTTTTTGCCAGTCCTAGGGACGACTTATCAAAGCAGCTGGGAATACCAGAAGAAAACGGTAAATTTCCGAATAGGCTGTAATCAAATTTGTAAAAAATTTTAATTATAGGCAAAACAAAACAGCCATTGTTATCCTATTTGATTGTGAAGCACAACAGCGCCGAGTCTAAAGCCGCCTCCAACGAGACTTTTGTCAAAAGCAACGGTGATTTGTCTGCGAAAAACTCTCCGTCCAAGTGCAATGACTCTTTAAGCAGTGAGTCAAGTCCTAAGGTGCCAGAGAGTCCTATCAAAGATGTGCTGACCGTGCCAGAGGCAAAGTTGGTCAATGGCAACTCGTCGGAAAATGTGCTGAGCACAGTAAAAAAACTTGAAATCAACAACGATAGGTAAAAATGAAACAATAAAAATATCTAATTACATTCCAAGAAAATAATTGGATCAAATTATTTTCAACTTTATTAAAAAAATAATTACGAATCAATTTAAATTTCCAGGTTGTCACCTGGGCTCTCAGAGATACCTTCGATGCTCAAACCACCTGTGAGTTTGGTTGCTTCAGAGCAACTTAAGTCGCTGACTGACACAGGTATTTTCAATATCAAATAATGTATCGTCATTTACTATTGTTATATTTGGCAAATTTAGGATCTCTAGAAGACTCCCTTGATCACTATGAAGAAGATTTTCAGTCTTCAGCAACTCTGAGTCCCCGTGAATCCCGGCAGGCTGCTGCTAGTGTTAGTGAAATTGAAGAGGTCATCTCAGAAGTCGTCAGCAATAGTGAATCTACAGTAAGGGAATACAATTTTCCTAATTCATGAGTTCATATTTTTTATTTTGCAGGTCGAAGAGCTGACCATAGATGCAACAATATCATTGTCAAGCGGATTTTTCGGAGATCACATGCAGTCTGTTTAACCTAATGCTAATTTTATTGGCGAAATTACTTTTATTGTGTCTTTTGACGAGTTTCAAAATCTCTTTACTCCAGAGGCGTAGATTATGGTTGGGCTGGCTGGAAATTCGAGGGGCCCTTGGCCCAAGTATGAATGATATTTTAGTGTGTGACAAAAAAATTGAAATATTCTCGCTCCTCTTGCAATCATTTTCATGAAAATTAAAAAAAAAAAAAATCATTCAAACTTGGACTTATCGAGGGTCCTTTTGGGGCCCGGGGCACACTATTTAAAATCCTAAACAGACCATTCTGATCATTTCTAGCTAGTTCCGAAAGTTTTTTTTACACCCTCCTTCCTGTTTGCACTTTGCTTTGCAACAAAAAATTTTCATATATTTTGGCGACCCTTAAAAAATCCCTAACAGATCATGCTGATCATTTCTGGCTACTTTTTCCGAAAACATTTGTTTACACCCTCCCCCCCGTTAGAACTTTGCGTCGGAACAAAAAAATTTCATATTTTTTGGCGACCCTTTAAAAATCCCAGACCATTCTGATCATTTCTGGCTACTTTTTCCAAAAGCATTTTTTTTTTACACCCTCTGGCTTCTTCCTGTGAACGCTTTTTTCCCCTTCACAAATGAATTGATGATTTCTATAAATTAATTAGTTTTTTCGCTTGAAAAAATTCAGTAAAATTTCGCGCTCGCTTCGCTCACAAAATTTTTTTTGTTTGCGTTCATACGTTTTTAAAGTGGTTCTCGAAAACAGAAAAAAGCTATTAAAATGAAAAGATAAAAATATTGGGAAGGGGGGCAAAATAATTAATTTCCAGGGGCCCTAAAACGTGAATCTACGCCTCTGCTTTACTCAACGATTAAATTTAAAACTACAGTTGCGTATTTCCCACCAGTTTTACCTTTTGTTTTGCTCAAATTCCACTTTTTGCGTGCAATTTTAAGCTATCCAATCAATGTTTGGTCCACTAGTCACAATGTTTTTGAGTTGTTAACGTAGATTTTTTGCAGTAGAAAAATTTCCTCCCGTTCGCAAGCAATTTTTTTTTTGTCTCCGTAATATTTATTGTAAAAAGTGTAAATAGAGAAATGTTTGAAGACAGTTGACACCTTTGTTCAACAATTAAATAAATCCAAAAGGTTTTAGCTAAAATCAACGATGATAAGTTTTTGTTTTATTTAAAAAATGGAAAAAAATGATGAATCAATAAGTTGCTCGTTGTGGAATGCTAATTGAGACTGGGGTTGGCGATTTTCTCCAGGAAGAGATCTGCATCAGTGAGAACAGCTAGAATGCCATCTTTGTTGACAGCTTGTTCCTCAGAAGAATAGTCTAGCTTGTTTCCTTTCAGATCTGTCATCGAACCAGACAATGAGTGGAGAATCGCGTTGCCAGCACAAACATCCCACTTCTTTATAATAGTCGAATGAAGATAAATATCCGCATTTCCTTTCACAACCTCCATCACTTTATACCCTTGAAAGAATAAAAAATTCCATGTGCTGATGAATTTTCAAAAGACAAAACTTGTACCAGCTCCAGCTGCAGGAATTACTTTGGCTTTCTTCCCAAAAGCCACCTCAGCCATTTTCTGTGCGCCTCCTGTGTGGGACATAGACACAGTTATGCTTGGCGCCTCTAGGTTGGACTGAAAATTGATTTTTTTAAACATTAAAAAAAAAATAGAAAAATATTATCTCACTTTGTGGCTTCCGAGTTTGGTTATACTGTCGGACTTCGCAACGTTTCCCCACGACCAATAAGTCACTGGTGGTTCGGCAAATGGGAAATGAATCACTCCAATGATGGGTCGTCCTTTCACAGCAACGCAGACCATTGTTGTAACATATTGCAATAAATTCTCTGTAATAAAAATAAATGGGTTGCAAGAAAATATTAAAAAAAAGGATTTTATTAATCCAACCTGTAAACTCTTTTGTAGCATCAAGAGGGTCAATCCAAATTGTCACATCTTCATTAGCCACCATTAAATCAGGCAAAGATTGGCCGTCCATGCCGACGACATCTAAAGATGGAGTAGCATTCTTGCATTCTGAAGTGTCATGCTCTTCAGATATCACCTTCAAAATGACAAAATAAATTTAATCATTAATCCTCAAATTTTTGCTAAATATAATCATACTTTAAGAGTAGGAAACTTTTTCTTAAGTCCGTGGTACATGACGCAGTGCGAACGGAAGTCTGCATCTGTAACAGGGTCATTGACCCCTTCTTTCGTCTTTCCCTTGCTTTTTATGTGCAGGTCAGAAGCTTCCTTTTTTGCAACTTTGACTTGTTGACCACCTTTTTCGGCCACCTGAAATTATATCAAAATTATTATACACATACATATCATTTAATTATTGATTTTTAATAAAGTTTTTGAAAGTTTTATTCACTTCTTTAGCTGCCACAAGAAGCGCCTTCATGTTGACCCGGTTCTCCTCATCAGGGGCGGCAAGGATTTTGCTGCTTGTGTCGTCCGAGTGTCCGATAAATATGTAGATGAAGAGAAGTAGAAAGGAGATGGTGACGATGCCAACGCCGACTTTGTTGATCTTCACCGTGCCGCCTAAGTTCATTTTCGTGGTTAAATTTTAGCTGAATCTGACTAGAGACTTCGAAATCGTTGTCACAGGAAAGATCCTGGCGACCAAGGTCACGACATACTCGACGTTTTAACGTATTTAAAGACCTTTGACACGTTTGTGGAAACTCAAAAATTTTGTCAACTTGAAAGATGTGCAAAGGCAAAGTGGTGGGGGCGTAAATGTTTACAAGCCCATATGGCCCGACCACGCCCCCGTCTGTCAAAAATTCCCGGCTCACGCAGCTCGCCATGGAGGAGTGCAATAATTGATTTTCGCCGTTTTTCGGCTCACGTTTTTCGACAGTGAGTCGTTCTCGTGTCTGCCATAGCTTCCGCGAAAAGCACGAACCGCCGTAATGAAGCTCAAACTCTCAAGATTTTTGATGCACAGGTGCATAAAGTTCTGCAATTAGTAGCAGAAGCCTTACATATCATACTTTAGAAGGCCGTATCGACCCACTCTGTTTGGACCAAAGAAAAAGTTGGCGTCGCCTTTCCCCGTGCATGTAAAATAAATGTGCATGCAGATCTCAAGTAGGCTACTCCTGTAATCGATCCGCTTTTAAACTTGACACTTGATGCTCTTGCTCATACAAGTTGCCTCTTTAAATACATATTGAGGCTTTTTGTATTTATTTAAAAATGTGTACAATTGTAAAAATGACATCGCCTTTATTGCATTTATGAATATTATCTTTATTGATAGTGATAAGATTTGACTCAATTACGGGGCTTTTAGCTTAGTATTGGCCGAGTGTGCATCAACTTTCAGCAATCATGAACAGCAAGAAACTAAACAATCGAATCACTTTTATTTTCAGGAGAAAGAAGAAAAACTTGTTCTTCCTGTTTGTGTTCATCAGCTTGATCTCAGTTGAATACCTCACTTATTACCTCCAGACTCTGTCTTGGCCAGACACCGAATGCACAGAAGTCACGACTGACGAGGAATGCATGAAACTCATTTTTGTGGCAGACCCACAGCTGATTGGTGAAGAGCTAGAAACTGGCTTCAAATCCATTTTCAGTTTTTGGGACAGCGATCGGTAATTTTCAATAACATTGGAGTGCTTAAATTAACCAACTTTGCCCTCAGATATGTGAAGAGAACTTTCTCCTATGCCATGGTGAATGTCCAGCCTCAGGCTGTCGTATTCCTCGGCGACCTGCTCGACGAAGGCAGCATTGCAAGTGAGGAGGCTCACAAGCGATACGTAGATCGCTTCAAGTGGGTCTTCCCTGAGCAAAAAAACGTGCCATACATATATCTACCAGGGGACAATGATATTGGCGGAGAAGGAGATCCGATGACGCGGCTAAAAATTCAAAAGTTCGAGAAGCATTTCGGCCAGCCAGACATTATTCGAGTCAAGGGGATTACATTTTATAAGGTTTTTATTTCACCTAGTTGTTTTGCAAATGTAAATTAAAAATTAATTTTAGATCAACCGAATGCGTTACCAGTTCCCCAAACTGACGCACGCATTACCTGAGAACGAAACGAGAATTATAGTCAGTCACCTTCCTTTGCTCACACACCCAAGTCCCTTCATAGACCATGTAAGTTGAATGAAATAAAAAAATAGCCACACTTGTTTGAATTTCACTTTTATAGATCGTGGAAAAGTTTGAGCCCAACTTGATTTTCTCGGGCCATGAACATGTGGCTGCCCACCTGAGCATAGTGCAGGGTCAGCGCCTTGGCAGGACCGAAGCCCTGGTGGATCCGGTTGAACTCGAGCTGGACCAATTTCAAGTCATTAACGAGATTATGGTACCAACGTGTTCCTACAGGATGGGCACTGTTGATATGGGCTACGCAGCTGTTTCTATCAGTGAGTATAAACCTCTTTAAATTTTTTTTTATTCCTGCCCCTACTTTGATTTGAGTTTTATAATTTGCTTATATTATTTTCTTATTTGCGCCATTTTTAGACCAAAGTGGATGCTGAGCCCAAAACTTTGTTAGTTTCAAAAGAAATGAAATTGTCAAAGTTAAGAGAGACAATATTTAAAATAATAGATATAAATTATAAAGATAAAGTTTTTGGAGCTTACAACATACCATCCACTTAAAAATATCTCCCTATTGATTTCCTTTCATCCTTTGTCAAGAAAATTAACTGAAATGAGCAATCAATTTGCGCAGATACCAAGACTCAAAGAGCCACCGTGGTGATTTTGGCGTTACCAGACCGATTCAGGCAGCTCTACTTTTATCTCGGAATGCTCATCGTTTTAATACTCTACTATTTAGCAATCGCGACTTTTGTATTTTTCAGGAAGTATTTCAAGCGTTGTATTTACCTTTAATCTAGTGCTGAGAATAAACCCAAGCTACCTGCAGCAGCCAAAGAGAATCAACTCCCTTTTAGAGTTGCAAAGTGCCAAAAGATTCAAGCCAGAGAATATCGATCCCACCTCCCTTTTGATATAGCTGTATTATACCCTTTTCTATAGATCCACTGTCGAAATGAGCGAGTGCACAATTTTAACTCTAAATAAACTTTATTTTTGGCCAGCAAATCAAAGTCCGACGCGCGTTTAATTCTTCTTCATCTTTTATCAATACAAACATTTATCAACACTGATTTTATTTCAATAGTTATTGTTGAGGGAGCAGTTAATTTTAATTTTTAGACATTTTCGTCCTAATTTACGCCGCCGCTCCTTGTTAGGCCCGTCGCGATTCATTTATAATTAAATAATAAGCACCGAGCGCCAATTGGGTTCAACCAGGAACAACAACAACTACGTAACATTTAAACACGTTCTCTTCTATTTTGTCTTTTTTCACAACTGCTTTCTTTTTTAAGTTTTATACGATTTTGGCGAAAAGTCTTGAAGTTAGGCCCGGGAATTCAGCACAAGTTTGATTAATTAGGTCATCCGTTTTGCGAATCATATGTATTTTGCCTCAAGACTTTTAAGGGATAGAAAATATTAATTTGTGTTGGTCTCACATTATAATATATATGTGTAGGTGTACAAAAAACCTTTTTTTTTCTTTTTGGTCAGTTTTGCCTTCTTTGCGAAATTCGGCACGTTTGTTGGGAGAAGGTTAATCGTCACAGAGAAAATCAGCGCGCGGCGAGAAATTTCGTTTTCGTCTTTTTGCTCACAAGTCAGACAGCAATGACAGCATTCGTTTTTTTTAAGCTCAGGAAGAATATGAGATGTTTCACCGAAGATATGGGTAGTTTTGTAGCGCAATAATATAATATATCAGTCACAAGAAATACAACATTATTACATTGTGGCGTCCGCCGCCGGCGTTTGCAAAGTACAAAATCACAAAATAATTTATTGAGAGAATTCGTTTCCGTACGTATGAGAATATGCAGCTAAGAGTTTTCCGAGAGCTTTTGGCAATTCCAAATTTGTTTTAAAAGGATTTGTCAGCTTTTCGCAATTCTTTTCAAGTTCAGGGCCAGCTGAAAACTGAAACTTGCATAAATTTTGATTCTTTTGTCGGGAGAGTTTTGTCATTATTATTGCTCAGCCCCAAACACAACGAGAAATAATCAACTTCAACAATGATTGGCTATTTGTGCGAGATTTTTCATTGATCTACGTAAACCGTTTTTAAAATAGGGCTTTTCTATATTTTTTATTAGTCGTCGGGAGGCAATCAAAATAATTGTATATTCCGCGCGAGTAGAGAAATAGGAGGGTGTTAGCAGAGAGCGAGCAAAACCGCGACTGTTTCGACAGAAAACAGTGATCACATTGAAGAATGTCTCACATTGAAGTTCGTCAGAAGCACATCGAATTGAATTAACAATCCACACAGAAGACACGATTACGACACACACTGATTTGTCTTTTGATACAGCTGCGCGAGAACACATTCCGTCGCTGTTTTATTGGCTACTTTTCCGGTTAGTAATTTTTCTGTTTTGCTCATCATTTTATCATTATTATTAGTACACATTCAAAGCGTCCTGAAAATGGTCAGGTGCGAAATAATGAGAGACCGACTTTGTCGACTGCGAGATTTGCAAAACAAGAGGAAAATAAAATTTGTAATTAAAATCAAATTAAGGGAGGCTCGAAATTCTAAAGAATTTTTTTTTCTACTTGTATGAACCTGATTCCAGGATGACATATCTACCCTAATTAGTCACTTTCTTTATTCAAATGTGATTTAATAATTTCATTGCGCGTTTTGGCGGCATCAATATTTAGCGTATGATTATTTTGGTTTTAATCGAAAAGCACATCCAGCAGCAGCGCCATTGGAAATTTGTACATTTCTGGCAGCTTTGTGTATTTTGCGAAAATTTCCATTCTGCGTGTCTGAGAGAGAGAGAGAGAGAGATAGATTTGCTTCCGTGCTGAAACGCATAAGCACCCTACACTCTAAATCAACTCAACCTCTGGCAGCGCGTGTCCTCCGACGGAGGTCATTATCAGTCGACCTCGTGACACACCTCCATGAAGTCGGGGTCGTGCATCACCATTTTGATCATGTCCTTGAGGATGGTGTACCGAATGAAGATTGGGTACATCTTGCTGTTGAGGTATTCCGACTAAAATCAAATTACCAAATCAGAGTTCAAAATTTTCTTCAGTTAAAAAAAAAAACAGTACCTTGAGCTCGCGAATCAAATTTCTCAGGCCGGAGTATTTCTTCAGCAGCCGGTACAGGTCGTTGGTCAGCTGCGTGTTCTCCGCCTCAATTTGCGCTATCGTCATGTCTGCAAATTCGCAAAAATTTCTTCAGTTACATTCAAATAATTATTTTTTTTTTTGCTCCAAATCCAAACAAGTCAAAACAATTAGTTGTGACAAATTTTGATTGTGAGATTTGTGAGGAAATCAAACCCACAGTGCTAGTGAACAACTCCCTGAAAAATTTCTTTTTTTAAGTACCTTCGAGCCTGTCTCTGCGTTCGCGCTTCTTTTCCTCCTCCTCGGCCATGCGAGCTGAAGCCTTGACACTTTCGCCCGACTTTTGAGTCTTCTCCATGATTGAGCAGGCCCGAAGCACAAAAGCAGGCACTGTTTCCAGCTTCTCTTGCTTCGGGATGTCCACCAACGTCCAGTACTGCGTCTCCAGTCGAATCACATCCTTCGGATAAAATAACTTTTAGCAAGAAAATCAATTATTTATGCTGCAAAATATCCTTGCTTTCCATCTATTTCATTTTTTTTTAATTGCAGGTCAAAATTTGATTATCTTATTACTGTATTGGGTTAAAATCAGATTATAATTGAAGCCACTGATTTCAAATCTTAAAATTAATCAGAATATTTTAGTATATTTATTTGATGTATGTTGTCGTTTGATTTGAATGCCTATTAAATACTTAATATTAGTATTTTTTTTTTCAATAATTTATTTTTAAATTAAACCGCCCACATTACGTGAGAACTATTTAATTTGGTTCATTTAAAGAAGACATTTGATTTTTTTTGCGTTTGATAAATTACCTTGATCATTATTTTGAGAAGGGTGTATCTGTGGAAGACGTTGCGCACCGATTTCGAGTCGGTGTACTTGGAGTTGAGGGTGACGAGCGAGCGCTTGGCAGTATCATACGAATCTTCAAGGCGAATCCGCACCATTCGCAGCCGCTCGTTGAGCTCTATCACCTCTTCTTTTGACATACCACCTAAAAAGAGACGAAACTTTTATTCGCGAAATAGGATTAGATTCTAGAAACTCACTCGCCGTTCCCTCGTCCTTGACATCTTGGACGATGCGGCGAACGCTTTGCGTGAACTTGCCCACCAGATTGCTGCCTGAAATCAAAGCGACCCCGTGAGCAAAATTGCGCTTTTTCATCACCACATGTGGTGATACGAAAAAATATAAAAATTTATACTCAAACCTCGCTCGAGAGCAGTTTTCGACACCAATGCGGGGGGTTTCAGGTGGGGGTGAATGAAAGATTGGGTGTAAGAACATAAATCAAGATGACATAGGCCGGTCTTTGAAGTAGCGTGGCGACAATTTGAACCGTTTCGAGTCTCTCGCGAAGCAACCAACATTCATCTCGTCGAGCCGGTCGCCGAGTTTCTCAGTCAGAAAGGAGTGCATGAGGGGATGAATGGGGATGAAGAGAACACAAACATCAAAGAAAAGTCTTGCTCCACGTGAAATATACATTATTTCCACATCGACGGAGAGGAAGGGAAACGTAGGCCTGAAAAGTGGACTTGAGAACACAGACAAATAACGTGTCTGTCAAAAAAATTTCAATTACTTCTCTTGGTGCCTTTTTTCTTCTCACGATATTTATCAAAAATGGACAAAAATTGACAAAATTAGAGATGCAGTTCCGCGTGCAATAGCCTCATGCTGTTTTTTTTTTCTTTCAATCCAACAATTCTTTTCATATTTATATCTTGTGCAAGACACTGAAATTTCCTCACTCACCCATCGTCTTTCTTTCTGTGCTCATGCTCGGGGCCAACAAGCATCCAAAGTCGTCTCTCGCAAGTCAGTGGCCCTGCCCTATTAAAGCGTCGGGAATGCGGTTCGAAAACACTAAAATTGGGCTAAATGCAAGTCGGAATTTGAAGAAAAAAATTCATTAAAATATAACTCGGAGTGGCTGAAGCGGGTAGAGTGAGCGTAAAAAGGCATAGAAAGTCGTCAGCATCAAAGCGAGAAGCAGAGTGAGAGATCTTGAAAAGAAAATTGCAAAAGTCACCATGCTGGATGAAAAGGGTGAAAGAACCTATAGAATAAGGTCTTATTTTTCCATTTAGCCAGAACAAATTATAAAAAATCACATTAGTGAGAAAATCACGGGCACACAGTAGAGTGGTAAACGCAAAAACGGGCTTTGTTTTCAATAAAAATGAAAAATCTGGCGTGTAGCGCGTTTGCTTGTGAACAGGGATGGGAATTTTTAAGTCGACTATTATTTTGTCGGGATGAAATGGAAACGATCAAACAGACTATTTGCCCAAAACCAACTATTGCACTCTGTTATCAAACAAAATTGTTTATAATTCATCTCAATGCTTAATTCCTCCCAATTTTTTAAATGAATTATCAAAAGTTTAATGCCAAATCGCAGCAAAATGTTTTTGACTGCGTCATGCTTTTCCAATCGTTGGTGAAATTTTAATAAAAAAGGCAAATATTTATTTTTTGATTAAATTAATTTGTAAAAAGTGATATTTTTTGCTTGGGAAATAATGTTTAAATTTTACTTCCAAATATTAAAAAAAAAAAAAATATGCGAAGCAAACAGACTATAAACCTGAATGTTGACTTAAAACTTTGTTTGATATTGCGATGTAAAAATTTATTATTAAAAATATCCAAGTAAAAGGTAGAATGTTTCCAATAAATTTTGGGGGAATTTTATCGACTTCTTTTGAAAATCGTTCGGAGACGAGCCTCTTTGTAAAGCGCTATATTTTTGACTCAGTTTGAAAAGTGATTTGAATATTTATGACATTATCTGGGCGCGCGCGGCAGCAAATCACAGCCTGCAGCTTTTCCACAGCGCCTAGGCGAATTCAATTAGGCAGCCCGTCTTAATTGTTAATTCGCGGCGCCGCGCGAGATATACTCGGGGGTACATGAATATTATGTAAAAGGGTCGGCTGGCAAACTCCCGGCGGGCGTCATCTTTTCCCGCGCGCGCCTTTTCCAGCAGCTCTTGGATTAGATTTTCCAGGTCAGGAGTGACGTCAGAGGTATAAGACCAATCTAATTTCTCACGCTGGAAAGGGGGACAAACTGAAAAACTGTTTTCCGAAAAGTGTAAGCAGATTAATATCTCAATTTTCCGGGAGGTAACTTTCCAGGGGCCCGGCCGGGAAAGCCGACGGGCCCATAAACATGATGAAAGGCCGCTCAAGACGACAATTTGTTAATTACAGGCTTTGTGCTGATGACTTTTGCAAATGAAAGCAGCAGCGAGACGAGACAAAGGGAGAGAGAAAGAGAAGAAAGGATAGAGAGAGAGGTTTACTCACTGCCCTCTGAGCGTTGTGATGGACCTTTTTTGTCTGTCCTGCCCATTTTGAGTAGCTGGCTTGTCTAAAGCAGCAGGCTTCGCGCAAACCGCATCTGGAATGCGAACAAGACAGTTGGTCAGATGAAACTCTCGGGCAAGTAGTGCGGAGATGCGTCTCAATAATCGGCAGCCAGAGAGAGACCTGCTGGAATTCGCTCCCTAATTATGGTGCGCCGGGGAATTCGTTTCATTAGCATTTCAATGTGGACCGCCGAATTCTCCTAGGAGTTCGATCAATGCCCGTGCATGCACTGAATATCAGTTTGCAAACAAATATTTTTAATATTTACTTGTCGATATACAGGAAAGGAAATTAAAAAAAAATTGTAACAAACCTAAATTTTCGAATAAAAAAAAGTAGAAATTCAATAATTTTGATATATTTATCTACATAAAATAAAAAAGACCAAAAATAAAAAGATGAAGGGTTACATTTATTGCTCAAAACCTGCTTAAAACTTGAAAATCGCAACGGAAAAAGAAAAAAATGGAACTGACGGAGAGTCCGTATTTCTGTTCAGATGAATATGAACCTCTGACGAATCCCTCATTTGAACCTTACAATTAGAGCAAATTAAATTTTTTTCTATCCAGTTTTTGACGTTGCGGTCATGAAATTAGGTATTTTTGTCACATATTCAGGAGTTTTAAAGAGTCCATCTGTAATGAAAATTTTCAGTTATTGCATTGGTATTTTATTATTTTGATTCTATTTTTTGTGTGCCAAGACAAAATACTTTTACCGCTGAAAGAGCCTTTTTTGTAAGCTATGGTGTCACCAAACGCGGATTTCTGCTAAAAAATTATCTCATAAGTCTGCATTATTATAACAATTCTGTAATAACATTAGAAGATCAAAATAGAAACCAAAAGAACTTTTTTTAATTTCAATCATTGAAAAATTTGAGAGTAAAAATTTGAAATAGCGTTTAAAAAATAATAATTTTAAGCTCAAATTCAATAAATCAGAAATCAAGATATTCAAAAATTTCATTTGCAAACCTTTATAAAAATTCAATATTAAATGAATTCAACTTAATTGCTTTGAAAATTCGCATCATAGTTCTCTTTAGCTATGGAATTTCCATTGTCCGTTGAACCGCAATTCACCGTTGTGTGGCTCAGAATTCAATCCATTCTATGCGTTTACCGAGGTATTCACTGATCACTCTTTTGTTGGAGCTCAGTGCAGCATCATCTTGTTGCGGAACGAGCGATTTGTATTCGCGAATCGTCGGCGGGGAGCGAAAGAGGGGGAGTTAATTACGCGCGCCACCGGATTACCTGAGTTGGCATAATACATTATTTTGTTTTGTGTGTGCACGGAGCAGCGCACAGGTGACGTGATTCGGATTTCTCTCTTCTCTCGCTCGCGCTCGCTGCCAGCAGGTTTAATCTGGATGAAAAGCAGCCGCGCTCGCGATCGATCCCGAAAAGAGGGTCCTTTGCCTTGCACCCCGTCCCGTGTGCACCGCCGACGTATATTCCGACGCCGCAATTCCCTCGAATGCTCGGCCTGTGTGTTATCCCGGATTATAATTATTATAGGCCGTCGTGCAATTGGTTCAGCCGCGAATCGATGCCGAAACAATCGTATATCATAATACATGTCTTGTTCCGCGTCGCATGTAAGCAGTGGATTGTTATACCGGCGTGGAAAAGTTCGTTTGTGGGCTCAACAGGTGGCCACTTTTTTAGCGAAGGTGATTTGGGCCTGCACGAACATCCATAATTACGTTGGCATCAAAAGATTTTCTTTTCTTTTGAAAGGACAGTACTTAAAAAAAATACGCTCTGGGAGAATTAACTTGCTTGAAGTGGGACAATGCATGAAAACTTTGTAAAACCACAAGAAGAAATTGAGATTATCTGTGACAAGTTGTCGTTAAAATTTTATAGTTTTTTTCTACAAGTATGAATTTAGAGAAATTGAAAGCTAAAATAGTATCATGAACATTATTTATTATTCTGATAAAAATATATATATAAACCATAGAATTTTTTACTAAAAAAAAAAATTGAACTTTATGATATTAATTTTTGTCTATAGAGAGCTTACTTTTAAATTTTCAGACTTCTTTGTGGGGATTTTCATTTTATTTTTTGCAAATTTTAATGCATCGCATAATTTAATTTTCCCCTAAATTCATAACGAAAATGATTTTAATTCTCTTATTAAATAAGAAAAAAATTTAATATTAATGAGTGGCAATTTTTACATTGATTAATGATTTAATTGTTTTTTATACACTGGTTTGAAATTATTCACATGAAAATTTACTGCTTTAGATTAGATTGCCTTGAAGTTCCATCTCAATCTCGACTAAATATCCCTCTTTCACTGCCCAGTGCGTGCCAAAGGATTATCAAGCATCAAATTGGCCCTTCTGGTAGCAGCTGCAAAAATTTCCAACCCACTGGCCTCGCAGCCACTTTTGCGTCGAACCTCCAACAGAAACTAGGAACTGCTTGCCGTTCTAATTGTGAAGGGATAGAGAGAGTCTCTAAATATTTAGGAGTGGCCGGCTCGAAACTTGCCACGGACAAATAATCACTTTCAGAAAAGGAGGAAAACCGGGAGAGCGCGTTTCGCCCGCCGGCGAGTTTGCATTTCCCCTCACATGTACATATGTGCTCTTTAATTTCTCCATGTACGGGTTGCTGAGAAATTAAAATTGGAGCTCGGAATCGGGCCGAGTGCTCTCTTGCTTTTTGTCTCCGCCCTCACCGGCGGCGAATTTTTCGCCGAGAAATGAGCAGTCGACACGAGTGCAGACGGCAGCAGGTTTTTTCGCGGCCCGGCAGCCTTTTGTCTTCTTATATTTTATTAAAAGCCCGGCAGGCGTTGTTCTTTTCTTCCTCTCACTCCGCTCAGCTGGCGCCGCTTTTATCCCATTTGCATATCAAACTACTTTTTCATTACATCGTAGGCGCGCAAATTAGGGGAGAACGGCAGATCGGCGCGAAAGTGTTTTTGCTGTAATTGGTCGCACGAGCAAAGTGAATTAAATACGTTAGAAAGTTCGCGTTTTAATGAAATGGAACTTTTTGACAAAATTGAGATTTTTAAACTTATTAAATTTGACTGTGAATTTCTGTGAATTGCATTTTATGTTTTTATTAAATTATGTGATTTAATCTCCAAAAATATTTAAAAATTTTTATTCCCTGATGAAAATTGTTCATGATTTATATTTTTTTTCCAAACGAATAAGATAAGAAAAATCATTAAAAAAATGGGTAAAATATTCTTAAAATTCCAAGATGTTGACTGTTGTTAATCATATTTAATTCAATTACAATATTTTAATTAAGTTGACAAATGATAAAAAAAAATGGAAACAGCTGAAGTAAATATGCACCTGTTTTCAAGTCGCAGTAGTTGCAATAATTTAAAATTGTGTTGAATGGGAAAAATTACTCATAGTTAAAGATATTTTTTGTAAATTAGTAGATTGAGTGATTTTCAAATTAGTCATTTTTTTTGTACTAAAAATAATTGCCTAAAATCTTTTGATTCCAAGGTGAAAAGTTTCCAAAAAACTTTATTGATTTGTAATAAAAAAAAAACCCGGAATTTAATCATAATCCTATGTGATAAAAGAAAACAAAGCTAATTGCAAATAATGATCGAAAAGGCGCCTGCATAATTCGGCACTAGACTTCCCGCAGTGCACGTCTGCCCAGCGGGTTGCCTATTCTCGCATACTTCCTCGTTCGCCTTTGTTTCGCCGGCAGCTCTCTTTCTCTTGCTCTCGCAATCGACTTTGGGAGAGGCGATAAAATGCGAAATCACATTTTTGTTTGTCTGCCGCCCACTTGTGCAGGCTGCAAATTGGCCGGTTCGCTGGTGTGTAAAAATCCGCGGGAGTGCCACTGGCAAATCGATTTTTCAAGCAGACGTTCGCAGCGGCCGGCCACTTTCAGGAAGCCTAACTCGATTCCGGCGGCTAAAAGCCTGCAACGCTTCTTTTCATATTTTTCTTCTGCGAATTTAAAAAAAAAAATCAAATTCAAAAAGCAGGTGCGCGTTGAATAAATGAAAAGAAGTGGGAAGGAGCAAGCAAGCGAGCTCCAAGATCGGAAGTCATCTGATGTAATTTGTAGTAAGACGTCTTGATTGGAAGCCAGACAGGCAGAAAATCGATTCCTCCTACTGGAGAGAGCGCAAGAGTTGTGAAAGAGGAATCAAGAAGGAAGCATCAAATCGGCGACTTTGAGCTACCAAAAATGTTAGGGGCGTGACAAGTTGCTGCGGCAAATAATTGAACGTTGGATTAAGAAACGTAACGAAAGCGATTAGATGAAGAAGCTCTTTGGGGATTTTCTTGTTGGCACTTTCTTTCCAACCTCAAACCAATCCTAAGCACAATCAAACCGAGCAAAATAAAATATTTCCATTATTTAGCTTCTAAAAGCCACAGAAAATCGGTAATAAATCAGATTTAAACTAGTTTTCATTCTCTAACCTACTAAAAAATTTCAAATTATTTTATTTTCTAGAAAAAAAGCATTAATTGAAGTTTGAGATACTTCGTTTAAAATTTTTCTGGACTAGATTGCAATTTTGTTGTAGGTCTTTAGGTGAATATAATATATTTTTTTTCTTTACACTTCGATTTATAAATTCAGGTACTCGGTGAGATGACATTCTATTGGCGCCAAATTTGTTGTCAAAAACTGTTTTTTTTTTCATACATACAAAATAAACCTCTATGGTATTGAAGTATTTATCTCTTTAATTTTTTTATGAAATTAGATAAAATTACATGCAAAGAAATATGTTCTAAGATTTAAAATATATTTTAAGTTAACATTATATATTATTTTTTATGAATTATTTAAAATTAAATGTGTTTTTTTTTATAAAGAAACCAATAGATATCTGGGAGTCCGTATCGTTCTGTTTATGCTCATTTTTTCGAAGTGCCGTTTATAAAGATCAATCCTCTTGTATAAAAACTTTCGTCTCCAACTCGTTGATCTACAAACAAGCCCGGGGCGCACCAAGTACATAGAGTGGGGCGGCAGATGCAAGGTAAGATTCGCCGATTTTCCACGTGAAAAGGCCGGTTGAAGAGGCCGCTGTGTGAGCCTAGTTTTGGCCGCCGCTCGTCAATCAAACCCTCCCTCGGTGCTCGGTCTGGCGCGAGCAAGCTTGCGAGCCCTCTCCGAGCCACTAGTTGCGTCGCCAGCACAATCATCCCCCAAGCACCCCGCCGCCCCTCGACTCGCCCAGCAGAATCGCTGCTGCAAATGAGAAGAACAGCCGCAAATTCACAGCGCTAGTTTTGCATCTCGCGAGGAAATAAAAAGCACCCACCTGGAAATTTCTTTCTTGTTATTTTCTCTTTGTTCCACAAATCGTTAAAAAATACAAACAAAGAAGTTTCCTTTGAAACTTGAACCAAATTATTAAGATTTTTTTATAAAATTAAATTGTTTTAAATTTAGATTTTTCTCTCTTTGCTTTCAAAAGAGTGTTTTTTGGATCCGAGCGGCGTAGAAATCGGATCACGTTCGTACAACAAGTGGTTGGATCCAGTGCCGAAACCCGAGACGGAGTGCTCAAATTTTTCGGCGGAAGGCGCCGGCGAAAAATAAATCTATCGATCCGCGAATGCCGAAACGCACGATTTTCGCGCTCGTTCGAGCCAATTTCCGTCACACACGTCAGAGGTGATTTGTTTTCGCGGTCCGTCGATTGCGACAAGTGTATAAAAGTGTGCACTAAATACTCAACGCGTGTCTGAAGCGTATAATTTGACGCTAGTTGCTTTTGACATACGCGGTATTAAATTGATGCGACGTGCCGCTGCAAATTCATCAAAAGCTCATTCCGACCGAAATCGATCATCTGTCGTGCTCTGTGAGCGGAAAATTTGCATCATTGATGTGAATGCCAACTCAGTTATCTCCCCAGCGACTGGAGAAAAAAAAAACGGAAGACGATTTATTTCTAAAATTGAAGGGGTTAAAAATATATTAGTTCCGAGTTATAAATTAATGAATTTTTAAATAAATTTTAATTTTCAAGGATTTGAGAAAAAATCTATAACATTTTTAAGGTTAAATCTAGTCCCTGGAAGTTCCGATAGGATTTAACGATTCCAGCAGACGTGCACCGTTAATTGTGACAAATCAATTGACACTCTTGAATTGAAGTTAACACGTCACTTTCTTAATCGGAAACCATGAGGAATGTTTTTCCTTGGTGAAAAACGCAGAATTTGGGGCGAAAATTGGTGAAAAATGCGAGAATTCGGGGCACTCACCCTCTTCGGCTCTTCCTCCCCCGGCCCGGTTGGGTTTGGGGTGAGTTTCGGTGCGACTACCCCTGCCTGGCTGCAACACCAACGCCACCCTACCTCCCCACGGACTCTGCCCAAAGCACAACATGTTGCATCCCCCGATCATGCACCCCCGACTCTCAGCTGTGCGCCGGCGACGCATCAAATTTCAATTAATTAAAGAGAGCTACAAGGGTGCTCTCTCTGAGATGAATTTATTATCCCTCTCGCAACCCTTGTTATTTGATGTGAGATATGAATTTCAGTAATGGAAATGCAAAACGATGTCCATTGTAGAGGAAAATAATGAAAATTCGTGTGTTATTAAAATACGAACTATTAAGAATCCTCATTTTTCTAATAATTAATTGATTTTTTAAATTAATAATTTTTCCCCATAAGTATTTAAAGAATTTTTCATTTCAATGAATAAAAGTCTTTAAAGATTCTAGCAAATAAAATAAACAATTTGTAATATTATTTTTTTTCCAAATTAAAAAAAAAATTAATAAATCATCAACAACAACTATTTTATAATGCGTTAAGGAAAATTTTGTTAATTCATTTGCAATGACCTAACTCCACCCTTGGCCTAATAGTAAGTTCTGGGCTGGGATCGTAAAATAGCTACCTTATAATTTTTACATATTCTCAGGGGGTGAATTGGGTGAAATGGCTACAATTGAAACTTATATGAAATTATAAAAAAAGGAAATAATTATGCAGAATAGCGGAAAATACAAAAAATAATCTAATTGTTAGGGTAAAAAATTATTACAAAAAATTTAAAATTTATAGTGGAATATAAAATATAATACGTCATGTAAGTAAGTAATGAATTTTATTTCATTAAATTCTTATTATTAATTAAAAACTTATTTATAAAACTCATTTTTTTCTGAATATTTACATTGAAATGATTAAAATCCCTCTTATTGTTCTCACATAATTTTTTCCCACACATTCCTGGCGGTGAAATTGCTCAAACTCCTGCCACACCCCCTTTTGCCCAACCACGCCCCCTTCTTGTTTTTATCTATTTATTTTGATTATACACCTGAAGCCGCCGCATTCGCTGTTGTACAAACCAAACGTGGCAAAAGAACAAAGAAGATTGCTCTGCAATGAGTTCTGACGGTCGGCGCCGTCAGTAGAATTGCAAGATTCGTTTCAACCTCACGCACAAAATGGGACAGGAGGGACCGAAGAATTCCCTCCTGTCAAGTTACATCCACATCGCCCTTGTCGTTGCCGCTTACTGGTTCGTGTGCCGGCTTTGATAAAAAAAATGAAGAATGCAGGCATTTAATTTTAATCGCTTTTTCTCTTAACAGGGTTGTTTCCATTCTGACCGTTTTCGTCAACAAGGCCTTGCTCAGCAGCAAAACTGTCGACTTGGACGCACCGTTGTTCGTCACTTGGTACCAATGCGTTGTGTCCACGACCATCTGTTTTGTCCTCAGCAGTCTGTCAAAGATTTTCCCGCAACACATCAAGTTTCCAGATGGGTCACCGATGGACACTTCCGTCATGTGGAAGGTAAATTTTAAATTGATAAAAAAGTGAATTAATTTTTTGCCTCTATAAAAGGCATTTTAAATTAAGATTTTTAATAAATCTGATGTGAACAATTTAAGATTTTATTTTAAATCTCTATAATTTCAGATGATTCCACTTTCGATTCTATTTACGGCAATGATAGCTTTTAACAATTTATGCCTGAAGTACGTCGGTGTTGCTTTTTATTACATCGGTCGTTCGCTCACAACCGTCTTTAACGTCATCCTCACTTATCTTGTTTTGGGTAAGCAAATTGTGTTGCGTTTGCAGGTATTTTATAAATATTTCTGTTCAAACAATAGGTCAAAAAACCTCTACGAATGCGGTGTTGTGTTGTTTGGTCATCGTCATGGGCTTCTGGCTTGGCGTCGACCAAGAAAATGTTGTTGGTGAGTTTCATTTGAAAAGTTCCTTGAATTATTGCAATACTTATTTTTACATCTTAAATTAGCATCTTAATATGTCATGTCATTTTCGCCAAAAGTTGTAAAATACTGAATGCTATAATGTTTTTATTTGAATCTCAAATTGTACATTAATTTTGTGTAAAATATTTAATGAAATTTATATTTTATATTGAAATTAAATGAGTTTTAATTAAAAAAGGACTATATTATCTGTATTTAATCTTGGATCAAGTTACTGTCTGCATTTTATATCTATTTGTGAGGTTTGTAATTAATAATTTTTATTTAAGGCTCACTGTCTGTGATCGGAACCGTGTTCGGTGTCCTCGGCTCACTGTCACTGTCCATGTACTCGATCCACACAAAACGGGTGCTGCCTTTCGTCCGCCAAGAGATATGGCTGCTCTCTTACTACAACAACTTCTACTCTTGCTTTCTTTTTCTGCCTCTGATCGCCATGAATGGAGAAATCAAGGAAATCATCAACTACCCAAACCTCTTCAGTCCATTCTTTTGGTTCCTAATGACGATTGGCGGGCTGTGCGGCTTTGCCATTGGCTACGTCACTGCCCTTCAAATTAAGGTTTGAAAATTTATCTTTAATCAATATGAGAATTATTTAAAATTCAACACAAATTTTTCTCAGGTGACTTCACCTTTGACCCACAACATTTCCGGCACTGCAAAAGCCTGTGCGCAGACAGTGCTGGCCACCTACTGGTTCCAAGAAACCAAACCCTTCCTTTGGTGGGCTTCCAACTATGTGGTCCTCTTTGGCAGCGGATCCTACGCCAGAGTCAAACAAAAGGAGATGGAGGATCATCACAAGAACAGTCTGCTGAAGAACGAGACGAACGTCTGATCTCTCGTGAAGAGAAGTCAAAACTTGCCTCATATTTCTTGACGCCAGTTTTCAGTCATTCCAAAGACTATAAGTTAAATAATTATTTGTACGATGGAAATTTTAACCAAATTTTGAAAATTTCAACCGGTTGATTCACCAATATTTTTCATTTATATAGACAAAATTTATTATTATTGAGCATTGTTGATTTGTTTGTGTTTTATTATGCAATCAGAGTTTGATATATTTTCTCCACATTGTAAATTAATAAATGTCAGGCGCTGCTTGATGTATTGCAAAATGCAAATTGAAATTTGATTCACATTCATACACTTGGATGTTGATTTTAAATTAAAGCAGTCTGTTGATGCTAATCTTAAGTGATTATCGGGGTTGACACAACATTTCTTCAATGTGTGCCCAAAATTTTAGATATTTTTTTAGTGTTTTCCAAATTTTATGCTTTGTGGAGCAAGAAATAAAATGTTGCTGCATTTATTTTCACCATATTCAAAGAAAACTCTTTCCAGTTAATAGTCAATTTTATGGACAAAATATACAAGTTCAAAATTTAAATACGGTGCATACATTTCCATTATGCCAGAGGTTGCGACTACACCATGGCACTGACCGATGAGATGAAAACAGACACGCGTTTTAGCATAAAAACAAATCGGGCAATGATAAAAGGTGTCAACGAGATGCTGCAGCTGCCGATTTGACAGCAAAATTAGCATGGCCGCAAAGGGAATTTAAATTTCAAATCGGGAGAGACGCGCTCTTGTCTCGGGACTCCTAAGAGCCGCTCAGTCTGCACAGGGCCCTGGTCGCGAGTGGTCGCTGCGCGGCCGAATCTCGGTGGTTTAGGTGTTCTCTGGGTGTTGGCTTCGCTCCTCAGCCTCACAGTCGCACCCTGAGTACACTCTGATTGCCGCGAGTTTTACCTCGTCCTGCTTCTTTTTTTACAATTAATTGGTCCAACACTTGGAGGGAGATTTGTGGAGGCTTGCACTAGGTAAATGGCTCGATATTGCACTGGCTCTGTTCTTACTCATAGGTGCATATCTACCATTTCCTAGTGGAGGTCTCTGATGACAATAATCACTGAAAATTTATATCATTTTTTTTTGTACTTTTGTTCAATTTCTAGATTTTCTTTATTTAATTCTTCAACTGTGTGATATAAATGATATTTTTTGTTAGGTTCATTATATATTGAGTTAAAAAAAAATTAAATAATTACAAATGTAATTTTTTTTTTATTTTAAACTTATGTACTATTTTAATGCTCCATGATTTGTAATTTTAATTATATTCTTAAAAATATATTGAATAAATTTTAAATTTGGCTGAGGCTGACATACCATTTTTTTAAACTTTGGGACGAAAAAGCTGTTTAGTACAGTCAATAAAAAAAATTAATTATAGTTTAAAGTTAAAAATTGTTAATTGAAGTTTCTGTTTCTTGCATTAATAGTGTTATTCCTTGATGCGTTGTGTAAGACTTGACTTTGTTGTGTATTTTATTGCTGGTTGTCATTATAGTAAAATCAATATCTTCAATTTTATGATATTTTCTATTTTAGTTGCAGTCATAGTTATGTGAGCTGCTATTAATTTCTCACGATACTTTTTTAAAATTTAAAACAATATTTTGTCTGAACAATTATTATTATTATTAATTTAAATTGAAAGCAATAAACAAGCTTTTTTAAATGATCATTTTCACCAAATTTACATTAAAAAATAATTCTGCGTCAAAATGACGAAACTTAAATAATAATTACGTACTTGTTTTATTTTTAAATAATTTTTTTTTCAAATTTATGCAATCTTAATGTATTTTTCTGTGACTTAGCACCTGCCGAAAAAAAAATAATCGAACTAACGAGTTATTTCAATTCAACGAATAAATATTTTTTCATTTAGAGAAATGTTTATTTTTTGTTTGTCATGAAATATAAATTTCACATTATTTTTTTCGTTGATTACAAATAACTCTGCTTTTTTTTAACTATAAAAAAAATCTCGCAGTTTTTCTAAAAAACTTTTCGGCTGCCTCGCGCGCGCCGCCTGCTTCGCTGCATGCACATATATTAGGGCCCTCACTTTTATGACCTCGATCTCGCGAGACCGAGATTTCCCTCTCTACGTCGTTATCAATGATCGAGTTTACATCTTTCTCCTCTCCCTACCCGTCGTGGAATAACAAAAACAACAACGTAGACGGACGGACAGCGAGCCGCATAATCTGACAGTTGAAAAAACGCTTTCGGTTCCGATTTGTGTAGAATAATATGTCGCAAGGGTTGTTCGTCGGGGTCGACGTTGGCACGGGCAGCGCCAGAGCAGCGCTGGTCACTGCCGAGGGAAAGGTGCTCGCCACGGCCACCAAAAATATTCAGATTTGGACTCCGAGGCCTCATTTCGCGGAGCAGTCGTCCGAGGACATCTGGAGCGCCGTTTGTCAAGCGACAAAGGTGACATTCCATTCACTCAAATTTAAAATTAAAACTGAGCTGTCAAATTTAAAAAATTGATGCACAAATTATTAAAATTATTTTAGAATGTTTTAAAAGGTCAAGATGCAAGGAATGTCAAAGGTATCGGATTTGACGCTACCTGTTCTTTGGTCGCACTGGACAAAACCGGACAGCCCATTTCAATTAGTCCAACAGGTAAGATTTTCAATTTTTTTTTTTTTTAATAATTTTTTATTTTTTTGTCAGGTGCAAACCAGCAGAACATTATCATGTGGATGGACCACAGGGCAGAGGAGGAGATCAAAGTGGTCAACGCCACCAAAAACAAGGTCCTTGATTTCGTTGGAGGCAAAATTTCACTTGAAATGCAAATTCCTAAATTGCTTTGGCTCAAGAACAAATTCGGCGCTGAATTTTTCAAAAAAGTTGACCACTTTTTCGACCTTCCAGACTTCTTGACCTGGAAGGCTACCGGAGTGACCTCAAGGTGCTAAAAAAAACTCATACCTAAAAACAATGTACTTTTTTCCATTTTGGAAATTTAAATTTTTAAATATTAATAATTAATATAGTTTTTTTCCATTGCAATTATTTTAATTTTTAATCAGGTCGCTTTGCTCGTTGGTCTGCAAATGGACATATCAGGTCGAGGAACATCACAAAAATGGCTTTTGGGATCGCGAATTTTTTGATCAGGTCGGTCTAGGTGATTTGAAATCAGAGCAAATCGGGCTCGACGTGCGAATGCCAGGCTCCGTCATTGGAACCCTGACCTCGGAGGCTGCTGCCCAACTCGGGCTGACCTCGGAGGTCAAAGTGGGCACCTCGTTGATTGACGCTCACGCTGGTGCGCTCGGCATGATCGGCTGCAACGCTGCCGGCACCACCACAAACTTCGTCGAAAGATTAGGTAAAAAATTAAATAGAAAAGGAAAAACGAGTTTTGAAATTTTTAAATTTTGACTGCAGGATTAATTTGCGGCACTTCGTCGTGTCACATGGCGGTGAGCGAGAAGTGCCTTTTTGTTCCTGGCGTTTGGGGACCCTATTTCAGCGCAGTCCTTCCTGACCTTTGGCTCTCTGAGGGTGGGCAGAGTGCGACAGGTCGTTTGCTCGACCACGTCATCCAATCTCACCCAGCGAGGGACAATTTCAAAGACAAAAATCTGTTAGTTTTCATTTAAGTAATTTAAAAAATAAACTTATATTCAATAAAATCCAAAACAGAAATGAAATTCCAGCCGAACTGAATAAAATTTTAGAGAGCATTCCTGCGACGGATTTGACCAGCAATTTGCACATTGTGCCTGATTTTCATGGAAATCGCTCGCCTTTGGCCGATTCTACCAGAAAGGGAATGGTATAGGGTGCAAAATTAAGATTAAAGATTAATTAATCCGGATTATTTAGATGTCTGGATTGGATTTTGACACTTCAACCACGAGCCTCGCCACCCTTTATTTGGCAACCATCCAAGCCATTGCGGTAGGTTATTGTCTATAAAAAACTATTTTTAATTAAAAAATTATTAGTACGGAACGAAGCATATCTACGAGACTCTTCAGAAACACGGACACAAACTAAACGTTGCTCTGATGTGTGGCGGTCTGGCAAAAAATCCCGTTTTTGTTCAAACGACAAGTGACGTGTTGGAAATGCCCGTATTGCTGCCCGAAGAGCCGGAATCTGTGTTGCTCGGAGCAGCGATTCTTGGTGCAACGGCCGCCGGTGCCTTTCCCACTGTACACCAAGCGGCCATCAGTATGGGTGGCGCGGCCACGAAAATTCTGCCTCAACCCACCACGCAAGAGTAAGACTTTTTTAGGAAAAAATTGGAATTTAATTTTGGATTTTAGGTTCCACCGGAAAAAGTACAAAGTGTTCCTGAAAATGCTGGATGACCAAGCAAAGTATAAGGAAATGATGAGTGAATAAAAATAATTTTCAATTTGCTGAGATTACCCACCCATTGAATAAAATTAGTCAGAATAAGAATTTTTTTATGCATTTCTGTATTTATTTGTGGGATAAAATAATAACCCGCCTTCTATATAGAGTGGCAATATATAATGCTTATACAATCATAAAGTAATGAGGCATTTATGAAACATTTTTACAATAGCAGCCATGAGAACAAGCTGATTTTACGATACGATGGGCGACACATAATAAAAAATAATTGATATATTTATAATTATAATGTATCCATATTTAAGGTAGACACAGAACAACACAAAAGCGAAATTAATGTTTACAACTGAAAATTAACCATGAACACTTAAAACGAATCGAAAGCTTTTAAATGATTAGCCCTTCAAGTGGAACAGCCTGATTTTTCTCAAGTTAATCATTAATTAATATTCTGCAACAAGTTCGAACAACCTCGCTGGTGCAAATTTAAAGTCTGCGACGTTGCTTTCGGGGACGAGATAAAAATGTTCAGTAGAAAAAGGCGTGATTAGGGCCTTGACAAGGAAACATTTAGTGTTAAATTGTATGTTTTGAATTCTTTTCTCCTCCGGTATCACAGAAAACGATTTACCAATTTACAAGTCGCCGCGCTCTCTCGCAATCGAGATATTACAATTTTGAGGCTTCTGTGGGTGGTTGGCACATGATTATTCCAGACGTGACCTCGAATGCCAAAATCGAGGCGATCGCGAGGAGCCGTGGCGCTTTTTTGACCACACTTTTTGAGTTCAAAACTTACACGGAATGCACAACAAAACGCGAAAACTTCTTTCTCTCGATTCAAAGATTCTAGCAGCGTTAGTAAAACGTGAATCTGGCAGTCTTCTCTTGTATTTCTCTCTGGACATTCAGTGACATCACTTACAGTGCTCTGGAACCCGTGCGCTTTCGACGCAATTGCAAAAATAAGAAACCGATTGAAACTGTCAAAAGCGCCAAATTAGAAATTTTGACTGGATCCGACTGCACTGCAGAAGGAAATTTCCAAACTTAAGTTTATATATGCGAGTGAACTTCTCATTGGTTGTCTGGGCTTTTCAATCACAAATCAGGCCAAATGGAGAGGAGCAGAGAGGCGGCGGCCGTGGCGGCCACCAGCACCACGCAGACAGCCAAATACGAGCCCTCCTCGACACAGGCCAGATGCTAGCAGGCCGTCGGGCCAGGCGGGGCCGCATATCGATACTTTGAGTCAAAGTCAGCGTCACAAATGTACTTACCTAAAAGAAAGAGATAATCATAAATTTTTAATTTCAAACTTTTTTTCAAAATGCTCACCGGAAACAAATCTTCTTTTGACAAGAGACAGTCTGTAGCCGGTGCCAACAAGTTCGAACTCTGCTCCTGACAGAGTGGTTCCTTCGCAGTTGAACTGGGTCGCAATTGTGCCTTGCGAACCTGGTCCATTGCTAAGCTCAAATCGCGCCCTGAGAGAACCAACTCCGTGGTTTTCACTGTGCTGGGAAAGTTCTGTAAACTTCCACATCGCTCTGTTGCTCTCGGCCACCCTGAAACAAAAACGTCAGCATTGCACTTGAGCAATTATTTTGTCATTTACCAAAGTCCGTTTGGCTTTGATTGCATTCCGAGAACACCCCCGTCGACGGGGACGGCCACTGTGAGGTTGAGCAAGGGCGAAGGAGAGGCCATGGCGTGGCTGTTGTACTTGTAGTCGACCCTCAGGTCAGTGTGACCTTTCTCACATTTCCAGTACGAAACCAATTGGAATGGGCACGAAGAAGCACCACTTTTTGATTTAATCTGGAAAAGAGGATCAGCTGTCACAGCGAGTTGAAAAAAATCAGTGATTCACTCACTTGGTACTTTAAAATGTCCACATTGAAGTAAGAGGCAGTGGGGTTTTGATCAAATTGTCGTCTCAATAGGGCAGTGAGGGCACTCATGTTAAATTCGTATGAAGTGACCTCAGTCGTTGATTGTGATGCATCCCTAAAATAAAAATTATCAGGAATTTGTCGATTTTGATATTGCAGAATTAATTACAATGTTATTAGTTGCCTATTGGGCACAACGTTCTCCAGTCGATGCGAATTTTTTACTTTGAAAGAAAGTTGCGCTGGTGAAGGGTTGTTGGCCAGGATGGTGACGATTCCTGCTGGAAACGAGAGCATCATGTCACCGGACATTTTGATCTGGCAACGGGTCTCATCTGAGCCGCGGAAAAAGGCGTGGATGATTTCGTGGAAGGCGACGGCCAGGGGGACGGTGTCGGACATGCCAATGGTGAGAGGGGAGGGGCCTCTGGACGAGTTGAGCACTCCTGAGGTGCGGAACTCGAGGCTGTTGGTGCTATCGGCGCGGGCGATATTTGAAGGGGCAGGGCTAGCGGGACTGACGCGTCCTCTAAGCTGAGGGGTGCCCTGAAAATGGAAAAATTAAAGTGAGCAAGTTAAAGGAATTGGATTTTCAGTATAAAGGTACCTCTCCTCGTCTCGAAGGGGGTCTTGGAATGGCGATTGATCCCATTGTAGGGGTTGGAGTCTGACGTTGCTTTGGTGGAAGGGCAGGCTGCATTTCTCCAACTTCGGCAAAAATGTCTCCAAGATCTGGAATAAAAGGGCATTAAATGTAAACTGAAAAAAGCTTCTTTCTTTCTTTTTGTATGGCTTTATTGAAAAAAAAAGCTCTTTGATCTAGGGGATTTTTCATCTATTCTTGCTTTAGAAAGTTTTTTTAATTACCTGCATATCGAGAAGTCTGAGCCTCCGACTGAGGCATGGCTGGACTCCCTCTTGGACTGGAAAGGGCCGGGGGGCTCTGCAGCTGCGAGTACTGGCCTGCAGACACGTTGGCACCACTAGGCGTGGATGCCACAGAGCTTGAGGGACTTTGGAACAGATTCAAGCCTAACAAGTCACTACTTGGCTTCCTACGAAGCAGAACACAAAAAACATTTACAGCAACTACGAAAGCATGCACAAAAACTAGTGAATTAGTAAAAAAAGAAAGCACATCATCTATGGCAAGGCACAAATTTTTACTGCAAAATATTCAAAAATTAAAGTCGGTGTTTTCAAAAGCCTTGCAACAAAATTTTTAAATAAGCATTGAGCAAGACACAAAATACAATTTACCCTCCGAGCTGCTGAGAGACAGATTGACTTCTTTTCATGCCATCGTGGTCCACACTTGACCCCCTTCTTGCCTAAAGATGTATAAATATGTAATAAGGATAAAACAATTCAAAATTTCAAATAAATATTTACAATCATTTGGCCCACAGAAGAAAGGGTCATATTTTCGACCGTTGCTCTCAGTTCGTCGACACTGGCGCTCATTGCTGAAGTCCCATTGATTTGTGGCTTGATCTGGACGTGTATTTTTCTATCCCTCTCATCATCTTAAAAAATAAAATTTTTTAAATTTTACAAAATATTAATTATTTTTCATTAGGTTTTACCAGAATCAGTATCCGAGCTTGAATAGAAGTTTTTGTCATTATCCCAGTTGTCGACCTTTGGCCTGATTCTATAGCCCTCATCATCAACCTCAGGGGGAGGCGGAGTGCCTGACTTCCTGCTTGAACCATCGTCCTTGTCCTCTCTATATACATCAAATAAGATAGATTATGATTTCAAATCTTTTGATAAAATTCCCTTACCCATCAGATTTATCCTCCTTGTTGCTATTGTTATCCTGAGAGTCTTTCTTTGAGTTTTTCTTTGCCTTCTTCTCCTTCTTTTTCTCACGCCTACTTCTAAGAAATCCTGCAAAGTCCAATTTAACTTAGCTCCGAAGTCCTGCTTTTTCAAGAACACGAATACATCTATTTGTGTGTACTCTAACTCTAGACAGATATTGACTACTACTGAGAAACGACTCGGCCGGGATTGAGGCTTCTATGGGCCGGGCCACATTAAGGTATAACATACAGCAGTGAGTGAGATTGATACAAATTTTTTGCATTCGTTCTAGAGTTGAAAATAACAGAGGAACCTGTAGTCCAAGTTGAGATACTAGTGTAAGGGGAGCGAGGTGGTGAGTCCTCTGATCCATCAAAGAGTCAGCAATAGAGACAGAAAATAATCAGTCATCAAAAAAACAAGAGTGAAAGACTGTGAGAAAGAGATATAATGGAAATGGATGAATGACGACTTGAATTATTTCGACAATGTCCAATTCAAGCTGTCATGTGACCAGAGACATTCCACTAGTCTATGATTCGATTGATGGGATTAAATTGAAAATCATTTAGAAAAGATGCGATGTGACTGCAAATCATCCCGCCTGCAATTCATATTCAACAGGGGATCAAATTAAAAAAGGAAGAAAAATATCTGATTTATATTGATTGGTTGTAATTTAAAACCCGATTAAAAAGTGAACATTTATTGTGCTGGAATTTACGTCCACCACCAAAACAAAAAAGGTTAGTTCAGTTAGTTTAGTGCCAGAGAAACAAAAGTTTAAGTAAGATCTAAATAAAACTAATTGATATCTTACTTTCTTGTTCACCAAAACCTAAAAACAAACTTGACTTGTTAATTTATTCCAGACAAACCAAAGTTCTAAATTGATTAAACTAATGTTCATAAAAAAAGAGGCGGAGTTGCAGCCATCCACGATGCAGGGCATGCGATTAATAAAAATCTTGAGCCAAAACATAAAACACATTCATGTATGTAGAATTAAAAAAAAAATGCTCAGGGGAGCTGATTTTCAAGAGTCTAAATAAATGAGAGAAGGAGATAAGTATATTTTTTTATACTCTGTGTTCCGCGCAACGGATTCCGAACAAGAGAGGCGGTGTTGGTGGTTGTGTTATTGGGCCCGGTTGGACTCGTGGGCGCCGAAGTGGTCTCGCCGCTCTCTTTCAATCCTGCAATCACAACACAACTCTAACCCCCGAACTGGAGCTTGATGCTCGTGCCACCGGGTGACAAATTAACATCGTTAGTCACGCAAAACGGGACAAAAGTAATTAAGTTGCCGAGAGATTATTTACATGAATTTCCTCTCAGAAACTTACTTTTCAGTTAATTTGTCACAGTTATTTACACCAATGGCACAATACCTCTGTTAATGTGGAGAATCAAAAGCATATATTCGGTGACACAAAATAACACAAATGTATGTTAAAGCATTTAAGCCCATATAGCATTATAAAGCGCAGAAAAAGCAAAATTTTGTTACAGGAAATTTGTAAAATGTTATTTAAAGCAAATTTCAAAATTAGTTAATCAACTCTAATTCTTTTTAACTTTGCTTTTCTTGCCGAGGTGCTTTAACGATTAAAAGTGAGACAAACTACAAAAACCATGCAAAAAATCAACACAAGCACCAACCCTGATTACCAATTAATTTCCAACTCTTACCGCCCACACCTTACCAAAAAACCTAGCCCACCAATATCAAAAGGTGCTTTACACATCAATCAAAGTGATCTTGATAAAAAATTTGGCTAGAAAAAAAATACCAGCACGATAAATCATCGATACGTTGACGACGGACATACCCTGGGAATTAGGCATGAAGAGATTGAGAAGGGAAGTTGTGCGGCGGGATGGTTTGCTTTGTTTTGTTGGCCTGCCTGCCTCTAGATTACCTGAAGCCGATTCTTTTTTAACCGGCTTGTCGCCGCTGCCGTTGGCCTTTTCGTCCTTTAACGATGCCACCTCCCCACCCCCCACGCTGACTGCGGTAGACACTGGGCCGCCAGATATACTCACTTCCTCAAATTCTATTTGTTCTGCAAAAATTCAATTCTGTTGAGCTTTGATCTTCTAAAATAAATACCCGATCGAACCTGGTTTTTCTAGGCCAGTGTATTTATTAAGGACGAACTGTTCCAGCAATTTGTCCACAGTCAAGTCCAAGCACGATCTTTTAAATTCCAAGTGAACCTGTTGTGAAAAATTGTAAAAATACTATTCGTAAATGAAATAAAACAGACCTGTCCAATTTGATCATGGTTGTTGAGAAGATCGTCAGCATAAGTGCTTAGAAACTCCTTCATTTGCCTGACATGGGCTTCCTCAACTTCTTGGAAGTGCTAATAGGTGGCAAATAAAATAAATTATAACAAAGTTAAATTAAAAATTTTCTGCAAACCTTGCAGGCGATGAGCATCTTTCTCTCGAAATCCTCTTTCGTAACTGCATACTTCTCTACCAGGGTTTTGTACTCTTCCTGAGCCTTTCTAACCTTGACCTCCGACTTTTCCACATCTTTAGCCGAGGCGTTTTCCTTCCTAAGCTTGTCGAGCTCCAAGCTGCGCTGCGTGTAAACATCCTTGGCCTTCTGCACGGCCAGGGTCGTTGCCTGGATCGACTGAACAACCTCCAAGGTCATCGACTCATCCTCCTTGACCTGAGCATGAAAATTCAACAAAGTCAGCCATAAAAACAATTGAAATTTTTATATCGATTTTCACCGTTTTATGTTTCTTGTGAAGTTCCTCTGAGTACTTTGTCACGTCCTTGACCAGGTCGGAGATTTTCTGGAACATCTGGCCGTGCAATGTGGACAACTTTTCGGACGAGTTCTTGAGCAAGGTCCACAGAGGGGCAAATGTGCCCTGGCCGGTTGAGCTACTGGCTGTTTTTGCATGCTTCGTCAGAAGCTTGCAAATATTTTCCTCGATAATTGCTCTTAAAAAGTTATTAATTTTAAGAAATTTTTATTAAAATTAATATTATAATTTACCTTTCTCGGAGATATTCGGACAACTCTTTGCTGGCCAAAACGCCATGTTTCATGTTGTGGTACAAAACATCAAAGCCATTGTTTTTCTCGCCCTGAAACGTTGAAGAAATTTGCATTCAATTTCATAGGCATCGAGTACGGCAGATGAAAGGAAAAAAAATCATTGGCCAGACAACCAATAGAGAGTAAATTGGGCCTGGAATCCAGTCGAGTGTTTTTTAATTGGAGCCTGCGTCACTTTCTTTCTTTACTGCAAGTCCCAAGTACGCACGTCCGCTCTTTTTATCGGCACGTGGGTATGCAACCTGTCGAGCGGTTTCACGCAAACATCAAGCTTTTTTCTCTCTTATCGCGCGCGGGTGGAAAAAGCTCCGAAATTAGTTTGCCGAACGGAACGCGTGTTCCACTCCAACACTTTGGCGCCGGCAAACAAAATTAACAGCGCGCCGCGATTAATGCATCAAAGTGGGAAGCCTGCTAATAAAACACGAAAAAACGTACAAAACCGAACGTGACCGTAAAAGCAAACGGGCTCTAGCCGGTTAAATTGCAAATAATAAGGTCAGCTTGTCAAGTATTTACATCACTCTGTCGGAAGAGCTTGAGGAAAAACCATAATTTTTTTTTATAATCTCTAATCTGTTGTGTGGAAAAGAGGGGCGTTTATTGGATGCAGTTGAAGTCCTAATTGCAAAATAGAATAATGCACAAATAAGCTTTATGCATTTAATTAGAGAATAATAATTTGAGCTTAAAGGATATGTTATAAAAAAATTAGTCGCTAAATTTTAAAATATCTGATATAATTGAAAATTTAATTGATACAATTTTTAAAATTTGCAAAGCAACGTTACTCTTTGAACAATTATGTCAACGGGCAAAGGTTAATATTCTTGTGTTTCTATGAAATGTATTAACCCAATTACAACTTAATTCAATAATTTAGTTTTCCTCAGTCGGTAAGATATTAATGGCTGTTTTTAATAGGAAAAAAGTAAAAAAAAAATCTTAATAATTTTCTAGTACAATGCGTGAAACACCAATAAAATGCCCTAATAAAATAAATCCCTTTTAAATTCAGGGAATTTGTTTTGAAAAAATAAACAACAAATTTAATATTCAAGCACAAACCAACAGAAATAGGCTGATTTGAATAATCGCACAGTTCAAAAGTTTCTCAAATGTAAATTTAAACCTTCAATCTTGTTAGAATTCAAAATAAAAATTATCAAAACAAAGTCCGAGGAGCGTCCCAATTGTGACACCGAGCAGCAGTGCTCTGCTTTCACCGCCCTTAATCAAAAGGGCGTCTCGGCAGAAGTGACCCTGCGGAATTAAGGTCACTCTTCTCTAATCTACCTTGCGGCGGGTCAACATGTGCGGTGCCCGAGGGGCAAAGTGCGACGCAGGCGGCCCAATTAGCACCGGGGCGCAGCAGGCCCCGCCAGAGGGTGTGTCGAGAGTGCTGCTCGGACACCACTAACGACTCTTCTCGCGGCTTACCCAAAAATAATCGCTGAAGTCGACCGTCATCGTGTGTCGTCAGAGGTGCAGAGTCGGCGCCACCCGCTGCATCGCCCCTGCAATTATTTCTGGCTTGGCCCCCGACGCCGAACGCAAAGCTTCTTGCGATGAACGTCCTCGGTCGGTGAGTTCGCAATCGTCGCCACCGTCCGTCCGACGAATCAGCTGCAGTGGCGGACACGGCCCATTTTCCGAACACTCACGTTCGCATCGATCTACGATATTCGCCGACGTCCACCTTCTTACAAAGTCTCTGCGAGTGCGCGCCGATTCGCGAATTTTTCGCTCCCGAAATCCGCCTGCAATGATAAGCTTAGAATAAGAATTTATGTAGTCAAATTAATTAACCACTCGGGCTGAAAAGTAACGAAAAGTGTCCAACCTGAGTCTCGCAATCGGTCTTTGTTTTGATCGCCCACTTTTTCCACTTTTGAAACAAAGTTTTACCGCGTGGTGGCGTGGGTGTCTCTTCGCCAATCACCGTACATAATATTGGCGCGAAAAATGACGCATAGTTAAAAGTTTTCGATTCTGCTTATTTTATAAAATTGGCACCGTGTGTCAGAATAACTTCATTTTGAACTATTTTCCTGTTTAATAGAACCGTATTAATATCATTAAATGTGTTTAACTAGTTTATTTTTAAATTTATACTGATTGACTTTTGCAATATATTTACGATATATTAATGCGTGGTATACAATTTTAAATAGGTGCCATATGCGTAAATAATACTCGTCTTGTTGCTGCAACACACGGAAGATGAGATGATATTTTTTTTTAGAGCAATTATCATCTCATCTTTCGTGTGTTGCAACAATTAGACGAGTAATTAATTACATACGGCACCTATGTAAATTTTAAAATTCATTTTGAATACCTTCGTGATGAATATTCATACAGAATAATTAAATTTAATCAGCAAAATTTTTTGCATTATTTTAATTCCAAAATAGAACAAATTTGTTCAGCATTTTTTTTTAAATATTTCTTAAAACATATTTTTTACGTCAATTTTATATAATTTTTCAAATTTTTAGAAGAGCTGAAAATTATATAGGAAATTTTTGTAAAAATAAAACCACTTGAATTTTATGAAGCTGTAATATTTATTTAATTAGAATAAAATAATGGCAATGAATCAAAAAAGGTCGAGATTTTTTTTCATATATCATAACGAACTATTATAAATTTCCAAATACAGTTTTTCAATGATAGTTAGTGAGATTAATGACTGCATCACACCATATTTTTTTCGTTTCAATAAACGACATCACTCGTTTTTCGTCAATAAAAATGTAATTCACAAAATTTGTTTTCTCTTTTAGCCAGCTCACACAGTAAGTATCATTATTGTGAGTGATATACAACAACACTATACGCATCATTTCGTCAATTCCTTTTTATAAAAAAAAACGCAGTGCTTTTAATTGTTTCTGGAAAAATTAAATTTTTTTCCGAGACCCAACAGAAAATATAGACAGTGATAGCGGGTCGCGGAAATGGCCAGCATAGGAAAGAAAGCCCAATTTAGATGAATTATGAGTTAACTATGAAAAAAATTATTTTACACACAGTTACAATTAATGAATTAATATATTATGAAAGTGGTGAGAAATGCACTGGAAAATAAGCGCAGGTAAGGCGGAGAGTCTGCTCTGCTGTGCAAATTGTGCAACAAAAAAGGATGGCCTCTAACAATAAGATTATTTTATCCAACATCACGTAAATCAGGCAGTTTTTACAAATATACGTCTCACATGAAAATGTGTGTGTAATGTTGTGTGTGTTGGTGAGAGTGTGTGCGCGCGAAAACGCTACGATTTTTCGGGGCGAGGCACAAGGATTCTTACATTTTATCTTTCTCAGCTAAAACTGCTTCCCGAGGCTCGAACAATTATAATTTTAAGTATCGAAATTATTTTATGCATGGAAAATTAGCTGCTATATAAAAATGCGGTTCGGTGGTTTTCTATTTTATTTATAATATTCAAATTATTCAAAACACAGGTTCACACACAGGGGAAAAATCGGATCGATTTTATGAGAATGATATGGACGTCATTTTGCAAAAACAGATGCGTGCATTTCACTGTTAAAAATTCAGTATAATAATTTTATTTAAATATGCATCGTTTTCACGCATCGTTTAAGTAAATTTTTCTGTTGTTCCAAAAGCACAGGACGAAATTTTACACTTCAATAATCAAGTGTTTATTCTTACTTTCTCTCCTGGGAAATTTACAGTTTTTCAAACGGCAAAATACACGTGAATATATTTTAAGTATCACCAAGAGACATTAAATAATGAAACGCGAGCCTTATTTAGTTAAACACTTCTTTCTTTTCCATCTGAACTAACATAATTATGCTATAATGCGTGTGAGTGTGTGTGTTGAGGTTTCGGTTTCTTCCTTGAAGAATAAATATATTATAATATAATAGAGTGATCGCGCTGCGTTTAATAATTTTTTTACGCCCTTAGTTAAACATCGTAGGCCTAAAATCTAATAGTGACTTAATCAATTATAATGAATCAATCAAGTATTACAGCATGCTTTTCGTTCTTGTCCGCGAGTTCCGCTTTTTAAATTTATTTAGACTGAAAATTTGCCCTTGTATCGCTTCCGAAAATTTGAACCCTCCTTCAAAAGCACCCCTTTTTCAGCACAATTAATATCACTTTTCGTTTTCGCGTTAAATAGATCCTCTGCTCACCACTTTTATTTTTTACTCCTCGTCATTAGTATTTAGCTCTACACCAAAACACAATTATATATAAATATATATACGCTTGACTTTTACTTTTACACATGTATACCGCGAGCGTATGGTGGGCCAAGTTAGAAGAGAAGAAGTTATTAATTTGAATTAACAGAACTGACTGAGTGACTCCTGAGAGTTTTTTTTTTGCATTCTCTAACACTTATACAAGTTCTTTTCCCATTTATACTCGCGACTGCCGAAAGATACTCGGTAGGTGTAATTTTAAGGACATCCAAAGCGGCACGGAAAGACTAAAAACTAATCTTACACAAGGTTGCGCAACAATGTGGCGTTTGCTTCGAAAGTCTGAACGACTTTCATTGCAATTCGTTAAATTTTACACTCTTAGGTGTGGAATGAACAATCAGAGGAACTGAAAATACGCCTGCAAAGAAGATGGAAACTTTTGACTGGCGATTTTGATCTCACTATGTCGTTTAAGAAACTGAATTCTATTTTTAGGCGTAAGCATCACTCAAGTGTATGATCCAGTCCAACAAAGAGCACTTTTTAACTGTTTCCTCCCCTGTGATAATTTTTTTTAAACCTCATTAATGATATAATATCAGTGAATTTCTGAACAATAAATGCAGGGAGGAAAAGGTCTAAAGTTACCCTAGTTGAACTTGCATTACCGTTACACTTAAAATTATAGGGTGTAATTAGACGTAAAAAAGCATCACAAATTTTCATCCTATAGTTTTTTTTAGATTCCTTCTGGAAATTCGACTCTTTCCCGCAGCTATTTGAAATGTAAGCTCATTCCCTGACCTAATCAAGTCGTATTGTATTGTTTTTTTTTTGGAAATGTGTGTTATTTGTTTTCTCACAGTTGCCTGCACCTTATAATGATCAAGGATCGAAAATTCTCTTTAGCGTTTCAACTGCGAAACGAGGGCTATACCGCAACAAACAAAGGAAGCTGCTGGCCAAAGGGGCGCAGTTTTACTTTTTTAGCAACTAAATAAGGGGTGAAATAATTTTGCTCATTATAGGTACAGAAACTTATAAGCACCATCAGGATCTCAGGACTTGCATTGAGGTTCGACCAGGCTATGGGGTTTTCAAAAATCTCTCCGCTTAAAACCCTAAATCTAAATCAATTAAAAGGGGGTCCGCCGACGGTTATTTGGGGCAAAGTAAGCAGTGAATTATTTTCTCTACAAATTGTTAGCATCTTTTCCCCAGAACTTGTCGAAGCGGTTGCGCGCCTTCTCGAGCACGTCCGAGGCGACCGAGCGGGCGGACGGCGCTTCGATGGGCTCAGGGGCCTCAAGGATTCGGTAGCCGGAAGACCTGACAGGTGCGAGTGGCACTTCCGGGGCCTCCAACACCGTGTACGGGGCTGAGGACGAGGAGGAGGGGGCAGGCTCCAGGTCGGGGTCGTCAAGCCGCTTAAGGGTGGTGCCCGCCACCGACTTGATGGCGGGGGCCGCCTCCGCAGTTTGAAGGACAAGGGCGGCGCTCTTCTGCGTTGGCGGGGTGGCTTCCGAGTGGTCCGAGCTGTCGGCGCCGTCGCCGTTGAGCACTACCTGGGCCGCGTCTGTGTCGCCGAGACAAACACAGAATAATGCGCTCGGTCAACGTCTCTGACCTCAAACTTGGCCACGTATCAAAATTTTCAGTCTTTTCCACGATTTGCAGTTTTTTACTTTTGTAAAATCGAATTTCATTTGTGTGTGTATAATTTTTTTAAACTGCAAATCGATAAGACAATCATAAGTTAGAACCATCGATTTGAGTTTTTTTACGGACACATAAGCGGAAGCTGAGAGAAGTAAGGCAAAAAAGCAAAGTCGAGCTGAACTCAAGCGAAAAATGCAAAATGTTTGTAATAATAGTTGGAGGGAGAGGCCAATCTCAAAAACAAATCTTGACTTCTTTACAGTCAGAGAGTGCGAATTTTGTGCAGCAAGCCAGCATATATCGGGAGTTAATTCCTCTTTCTTTTATAGAAAAGCTTGGAACATATTTTTTTTTTCTCAAAAATTCCTACTTAATTCTAATTTTAAAAAAGGCACCGGCTTTCGTTAGCAGCAAAAACAAAATTTTCCTAAATAATTTCAGTGCCGATTTGCGCCAATACAATTGTATTTTATTTATATCTAGTTTCACTGCCAGTGCCGAAAAATTACACAAAAATTAACCAGATATCACGTTGATATATCTCTATCTGCCGGGAGTTAATCAAAATTATATCCAAAAAGCAAAATCGAAGGAAAATCAATCAGCGCCCGTCGTTCGCAGAGGCAATTATGTTTCCTTAGGATGTACCTGCTACTCCGATTTCCGGGGGCCCTTCCACCTTGTCGAACGAGACTTCCAGCGAGTTGACAGGGGCTCCCCAGTGCCGCGAGGACTCACCGTGGGGTCTGCTTAGCTCGCCTGAAATCATCCAGATGTGCAGTTTTACTCTCTGCGATTAGAATTAAAAAGCACGTTCAGAAGAGATGAGTTCTTCGAAGAGTTGAAGCAACTCTCAATTATACAAGAAGTGCGGGAAATTAACAATGAGCTATATAAAATATACATGACCTGAGTGAAACTGAAATTTGCAAAGAATAAGTTTACAAATTAATTAATGATGTTTAAATTTAATTTTTGTTAATAATTCATGCAAAAATAGTTTTATAAAAAGCGTCTTTTCTTAAAATTTTTCTTTTTTTCTTTTTGAAGAAGTGAAAAAGTGTTGGCATGTTTTGATTAGAGAACTTCAACTGAAGATCCCTACTTTTGATATTAATTAGCTCGGTGTTTGAATTAAATTTTCGTGTGCTTTTGCTATATATAGGTTAGCCCGGCTGACACTGAAAAGCATCCGTGTGTGGGCTATAAATTCCGTCTGCTGGAGTTAAATGAAAAACTGTGGGTGTTTTATTGCCAGAACCAGTACATAGTGATAAGCTCGGAGACGCGGCTCTGGGAGGAGCAGCGCGAGGCAGGATATGAGGATCCCTTTTATATAAATTTGTGCGCTGTGCGCCGACAACATACACAGTGCGCCTCGGCACAACGCAGGAAGCTGAAATCTATTGATATCGCCTCTGTGCGTATTTAGGGGGTGTATTTCACAGACACTTTCAATGAAAAAAAAATGTATGATTTAATCGATTAAAATTACAGAATTGAAACTAATTCTTGTTTCAAAAAGTGAAAATGTATCTCGCTGTTTTAATGAAATAAATTTTTTTTATATATTATGGTAATTTTTTTTTTAAATATAGATTTTTTTCATAATTTTTATATTTTTTAAAAGAGAAAATATAGGACAGATATAATTATTGTAACTTTAGACATTTTTGTGAAACGGAATGTAAAATAAGCAGCGAAAGATCCATGCAAAGCTGTGGTGGGAATGAGTGATTTTTTTTTTTTTTTTAATATTGTATATTTTTTTTCTCAGATTTTGAATACAGCGATCTGATTTTGTGATGAAACAGCGTCAGAGTGCTGCATAATGGTCAAATAGATTTATTTGTTGCTAATTTTGACGAGAAACAGTTGTTGCTCAAGTTTAATTGAATTCCAAATTGGAAATTCATTAGTTAATATTTAGGCTCCATCTAGGGATCAGCGTGAAACACCAACAACACTATTTTAGGAGAGTTGTGTTCATACCTCGGGCTGCCTTGCTCGCTTGCGGCACAACTACGAGGACCAGAAAGCACATTGTCAAAAAGGACTTTTTCGACATATTTTTTTCTTTTTAAATATATTTTTGGACATTTTAAGAGAATAACAATTTTGATGAAATATAATGAACTTTCTAGGAACGAATTTTGGCTATTTCGCAATGAATAATAGCAAGAAAGAGAAAAAGGATGGTTAATTTTTGTCGCAAGCCAATCAGCATCTGGTTCAGTTCTGAAATTTTGACAAGTTTAAATTTTTCCTTATCAGGAGGAACCAGAAACTGGGCCTGTGTGAATAGAATAACGAGCAATAGATTAATGCATTCCTAAAAATTTCCATTTTTATTATTTAGACTATAATCTAATTTGCAGTTAAATAGTTTCTAGAAGCATACTAGACTGTTAGTTATTTTATGAGTTTTTTTCTAAAACCACTGAAAAATTTCCCTTGTAAAATTTACTTTGACGAGGGATAAAAACCATTTTTATTGATAATAAAATTAATTAAATGCAAAGACAATTTTCCAAGGTTTATTTGCAGTATTCAAAGAATTAACCAGATTTTCAGAAAGTCATTCCAAAATGGGAGACTCACCTTCGCGGACGTTCTGAGTGACCGTGAAGGTCTTGCCAGTGTCAAGGGGCACTGTCCAGTTGACAGGCTCGGGGGAGCGCATGATGATCTGCTCAGGAGACTTGACCCTGGTGGGCTCCGGAGGCGACTTGACGAGCGGCTCGTCGTCGATCAGCGACACCGTGTTGTTGGTGTCGGGGCTGAGGAGTTCGTCGGCAGGCGGAATTTCCTTCGTCTCGGAGCCACCGGCCGACGGCGGGGTCGGCTTTTGCGTGTGCACCGCCGGCAGATCTTGCTGGGCAGAAGAAGTAGACGCGGCGCCGCCGTCACACGTGTCGACGCCAGAAGCTGCCAAAGACACCAATGAGAGCAAACGACTCGAGATGGCGGGAAACGAAGAGTGGATGCCGCCAGTCAGTTTCAATAAATTTTTGGCCGTTTTTATTTTTTATTTAAATTTAATTATTTTTATTTCGGTTCAATTCACATATTTTTTGACATTTATACACAGGTCTTGGTTAACGTTTAATAATAATTATTATTTGTCTAGTGCAAAATAGTCACAATTAGCTTGCTCCCGTGGGTTTTTCATATTTTTCTTTTCTTAAAGCGTTTGTACTCTATGTAAACTAAACGTTTTGGAAAAAGCACTTGATTAAGAACGTTTAGTAGTTGTTCCACTTGGGTTTTGCCGTTTTCGCAGTTTTGTCATTTTTCTGTTGCTGCTGTCTCGCGACATTAGAACTGCTAGGTCTGCCACTAACACTACTACTGGCAGCCGAACCGACCCTTAAAGAACTTGGTCGCGGCGGTACCGTTTTCGGTCGAGCTTTAGCGGCTGAAATCAGTTTCACAATTACTAAACTTTAGATTGCAAAAATTAACTCTTTCATATTATGTATAATGGAATATATTTATATAAAAATTAACTAGATCACACCACGGCAAAAATAACATCAATCACTTGCGGCATCCACTGCATTTACAGAGAGAGGATATTTTGAGTGTTTCTTAAAAAAATAATTGCAACTCGGTATACGGACGCTTCGATTTCCACATCAAAATGCGTCCATCTATGAGTCAAATAGAGCATGGAACCTTAGAAGAGTAAAATAAATTCTATGTAATAATATCAGGTGGCGATGTTCCTGTAATGAAAACTGCTCTAATTATAATACGAATAAAACAATGAGCGAAAAGATTGTTAAAAAGCTGTAAAAAGGAAACCACCACCGTTCTCATGCATAAAAGCAAATATTAAAATTATTATTTTACTCTCCGATACCATGAAATACAGTATTGGATGAAAATTTATGGAAATGATGAGCGTGAAGTACAAGATGAAAGAGAGAGAGAAAGAAAGAGACACCAACCAATTTTCTATAACACTCCTTCGCTAAGAAAGAACCACCGCTATATTTTTAACTAGACAGTGTTCATGCCAAATTTGAAGAGGTAAAACATTACACAACAGGTGCGGCTACAGGAAAGTCTAGAACTACCGGCTCCCGACAAATGCATCCAGAGTTACTCACTTTTGTCGTCGTCTTTCTTAGGCGCCGGGGGAGGCGGCTGCTTTTTCACCGGCTCTGCTCTTTTGCTTTTAGGGCCGCTCTGAGCGGCGTTTTTGGCAGACTTGCCTATTGTTTTGTCCTCGCTAGTGTTTCTCATAGCAACTGAACTACTTTTGGAACGGGTTGCAGATGAAGTATTGAGGGATGCTAAAAGAAAAAACAGCGCCGGTCATACCAACTGTGGCTATAATAATTAGGGTTGATCTATAAGTCGTACTAACAATTTGAAGAAACATGTTTTTGTAGTGTGAAAATTACTCGATTTAAATTAAAATTCAACCCCAATTACTAAAGTTCTATATAGGTGGGGGATATTTATCTACTGGCTGACTACTGAAGTTTGGCTTGGATGAAAGAGTCTCGCAAGCCATAAAAAGCCATTCTTGGTTCGTTTGGTATAAAAACTACAAAACAAGTGTCAAAATAGACCAAGATCGAGGTGACGAAAAACTTCTCTCGACGTGAGACTTGAAAAGAAGTGATTCTCCGGAAAAATATTGAGAGATTCGTTAGAAGTGAAAAATGTCTGCGTGTGGTGTGTGAAAATGAGTGGAAAAGCAGCGGGTCATCACCATCTCAGCAAACAGAGAGAAAAATGGGGGCAACATCGAACGTCACATTTATCAAATGAAATCGTCGGTGACAGTCAAAGCACCAGAAATCACACCAATAAAAATTGATATCTCTCGCTGCTGAACGCAGAAGGGTTTTGTAAACTAGCAGACTAATAATTTTGTCTATAGATAATATAGCGGGCATTAAAATGCAATGAATGAAACATCAAAAGCCGTGTGATGGGGTTTAGTAAACACTCTATTACGGAATATGTCGAACGAGAGAAAGAGAGAACAAAACTACGAGCAGTTTTTTCTCTTCAACTATAAGAGCAGGAGAAAACGTTCCGTCACGCAGGCAAAGGGTTCTATACTCAAGATTATAACTAGATTCATATCCCAACATAGAGGAAGAGAGGAAAATTCATATTCAAATGAGAGAGACAGAAAAAGGTAAACACGAAACGTTCATTACTTGCTGCAGACTGGTTGCAGATTGATTGGAAGACGGCCCTTTTGAGCAGGGGGCTGCTCTCCTCCCCATACACTAGAAAATCAACCACCCCATCACAGGTTAAAGGAGAAAGCTCGTCTCCAATTGATAATGAATCAAACTAAAAAAAACTGAGCTTGTAATTCCAATCTTCTTAAAAGAAAATGCATTTATTTCTTTTTTACTCCGAGACGATTTTTGTCCTTTGAAAAAATCTTTAAGAACCGTAGAGATCGAAATGATATTTATAAAAATAATCATTCACATGAAAATATCATTAAAAATATTCAGCCAAACTTATGCAAGGATCCCTTTATTTGCGAGCTGGGTGATGACGCGCGTGCTTTTTTCATTGCCTCGACGTTTTCCCACTAGTGAGCTACTTGGTGCGAAATAAAAGTGCAACTTACTGGGACGTGGTCGTCGTTCGGTGGGGGCACTCGCCTTAGGAGCGGTGGAGGCGGCGCTGGAGGTGGAGACCGGGGTGCGCGGCTGTCTTTTAGGCGAACGATTTTCAGACACCAACGGACCCACAGACTGGGATCGAGCTGAACAAAAAATAAAAAATTTTAGCAAAAGAGAAATACAAAAACTTTATAGGTTAATTTTATGACGGTGTGGAATGATTAGAGGAATTGGGCTTCTGGTGAATACAATTCTTATACCTTAACCTTGAATCAATGTTAAATTAAATTTTGTGTTTTAAATCAACATTCAAGACCTACAATCTTTTAAACTGTTTTAAACTATGCTCGGAAAATTTTAGCATTCATGGTAGAATATTTGGAATAAATTTTAAAATTTATTTATGCATACACAATCTTCTTCCAGAAGCTATCAAACTAGCATAATTATAAACAAACTAGATTTTTTTTATATTATTTTTAATCAAATGGTTCCAAAGATAACTGAAAAATTTGAAAAATATATCTGAATTTGTTGATTGATTATATTATAATTATCAAGAAATATGCAAACATCGGAGCATTAGAAGCGGAAGTTAGGATTTAGGATTTAGGGGTTCTACCGTTTTGATCAGAATGTTATCTTCAACAAGCATAACAACTTTCAAAAGATTTTAAAGCGCTTTTTTAATTACATGGCAGCCAACTTTTATTGAACTAAAACGCCTGGAAGATTTTAATAAATCCAAAGAAGTCGTGCCAGTTGCATACATTTGAATCTCGCAGGCGTTTTCTTTTCTTTACAGCGCTCGTACCTGATCTAGGACTGCTTTTGGGGCTGCTTTTGGAGGGGCTTTTGTTGCTCGAGTCCTCCTCCTTGCGGCGTGGCATGGCGGGTTCCAGTTTTTCGCGAGTGGGCGATACAAGGAGGGCGCCATCTTCTTAAAAGGGCAACCACAATTTCACGTAAATGTGGATTCAAGAGACGGCTTTGGAAAATTTTTAAAACGAAAATAAATTACCAGCTCCGGTGGTTCTTTCCAAATGATGTCTCACTAGGAACTCTTTCCTCGACCGCGCCGAATCGCGTTTGTCCTCGCATCCTTTGTCAACCTGCGGAAGAGACAGACAAGAATCAAAATCTGAATCAGAATAAAGTCAATTGATTTTTTTTTTTTTATGAATTGGAGATTCGTCAGATTCATTTTTTTTCTTTGATCAGTCAGACAGAACAGATTTTAGTGCGCACGCAAACAACAAGAATAGAAGCAGAGAGACACTAGAGAAGCGATGTGGAGGGAAGTGAAACGAAAGGCCACTCACCTGAGCGTACGCTTTAATTAATTTGCTCTAAAACACAAAATCGCTCAAACTCAAAGGTCGAAAGATTAAAAGTCAAAAGAGGGCAGCCCGACCGACCGGCCATTAAGAGTCCGGCTGCGGGTCTGCCGAGGGTTAAAAGTCGCGAGTGCCAAGCTTTCCCACCTGATTTCGCGCAACGCCGTCGACGCGATCGGCACGACCCGGAAATCGCGTGAGCCCCTTCGTGGGCGAACTCTTTTTGCAGTTTTCCTTTTCCTTCTCTTCCTTTGAAATGGACCTAGCAAAATACAGGATTTTAAAATGGAACAGAGTTAAAAAATTGTCACATTTATTAAAAAAAGACAACTTTGAGACTCAAATTTTAATTGATAAAGTCCCAGTAGTATAATTTTAAAGCATAAATAGTCAAAAACAATAATTTTTGAAGCCACTCCTTTTAAAGACGAAAGGAAGTTTAAAATTTTAATTCTTTATAATAAAAAAATTATTTATCTGAAGATTTTAATGAAATTTGTACAAAAATTATAATTATGAAAAAAAGTATGTAAAAAGTCTCAAAAAATCCATAAATTTAAGTGAATAGTTTGAAATTACTAAAAAAATAGTGGGTTTTCTTGAAAAACAGAAATAAAATAAAGTTGTTTTTCATCTCACAAAAATTGAACCAGAATGACATAATTAGCAAAATTACATTTTCAGAGCGAAATTTTGTAAAAAATTATAAAAATAAAAATGTGAAATAAAAGACTTTTTTCACCCAAATTAAATTTTTACATACCTCGGAGTTGCTGAGGCCAGAGAAAGAGCTGAGAGGGAACTTCTGCGTGAGACTTGCTCCCAAAGCACAACTTGTTTCCCATAAAGATCAACCAAGTGTTCCGGAACTAGTTCTGTGCCCCAACCGCGGTGCTGAAATTAATTGTAATTAGCAAAAATCACATAAACTCATATCTATAATAAAGGGATTTTACTTGCATTTGACGAATTCCATTTCAAGTTTTTTTTTTTTTTTTTTATTAAAATTATTCTGCGAAATGTATTTGGCTCGGAAAATAAGGCAAGATTAATTTAACTCTAACTGACAGTAATCCATTTGAACAAAGATAAACTACGGCTTGAAAATAAAAATTAATTTTCCCGACGCTTTCCAGAGTTGTTGTTCAAGTCGAGTGTCGGAAATAGGGCGTGGCTGCGGTTGCCGGTTGTTGCTCGGGAAATTCGCAATTCGCTACAAATATCAATGAGGGCGAAAGTCAGTCGGGTCGATGGGATTATAAATTCCAATTTCTTGCGCACAGCTTGTTGCCGAGCCAATTTTTGGCCCGGCACCGCGACCAACATTGTTACGGCGCCCTCAACACAAACCATACATTTTGGACTAGATTCGCTGCGGCGTGATCGATAATTTCGTCGACTTGATGGTGACCGCGACCATTAATCAAAGTGCTTTGAAAAGAGAAATGCAAATAAGGAAGGTGATTATATTTGTTCGCACGCCTCGGTCAATTAGTGAGAATTTAACATTCGGTTTATTCTGAGAACGAAAAAGCTCTGGGATTTGCATGTTGTCGCTCAAGTGTTTTTTACTTTCCAAAAGCCAATCAATCACCAAACGAGATTAAAATTTCAGAAGGGGTGAAGTGAAAGAAGCCTTAGTCTAGAAAAGCTTGAGGAGGAAAACTTTACTCGGCTGTTCGGAATGGTTTTCTGGATTAAATAAAAAAATATTTTTGATCAAATAATATTTCTCTTCATTTCAGGGAATCTAGGTTATAATGTATTCGAAAGACCCCCTGCAAAGATAGGAAGTAGGCAACCTGCATGACATCAGTTGCTTTAGGCAGCGAATGCTCAAACACGCACCACTCACGCCTGCTGCTTTACAAAGCAGGCTACCTGCATGACAGGAATGTTTTTCCTAGTTGCGAAGTTGCATAATTCTAACAGCTGCGGTATTAATGATGAAAAATGGAACAAGTTTATTTTAATAAAATTCAGACATTAAAATAATTTAATTTAGCTTAAACCTTTGGATTTAGGTCTAAAAAGTATTCTTAAAACTTTTCTCTTCGGAAGAGTTTCAACACTTTTCAAGGCACATCCTCTTAAGTATATGAGTGTTCTCAGTTTCCGTGCATGTCATGGTGGCATGCGAGTTTTCGTCCCATTTTATTATATTCTTATTAGCAGGCGAGTGGTGTGGTGGTGAGAGGAAAGCGGCTGCGACTCGCCGCCTTATTCTTATCTCTCTGATGTTGGGCGGTATAATATTGATCTGGCGACGCTCATGCCCTTCTCTCGGCCAGCTGACTTGAAATTCGGAATTCAACACCGAAAATAGACCCTCGTTAATAATAATGGGGAAAAACTGCATGAAATATAAATAAAATATCATCCAATTTCGTAACAACGCAGCTACTTCTTTGTTTATTATTATAGGAGAAAGAAACAAAGTGTTATATGATAGAATGAATAATGAACTATTTATGAATATTGATAATTAATTTGTAGAAGAAATTCATGATAAAAGAATGAATTTAAAATGGTTTTTGTGGTTGGATCATTTTATTAAAAAATAATAAACGCTCTAAAAAAAAAAATAAAAAAATGAGGAAAAGCTGAATGTAAATTCAAAGAACATAATATAAAATAATTAATTAAAATGCTAAAATATCACAAAGTTTAAAAAAATAAATTTTTAAAACACTCTTGTAGAGTTTTTTTTGGTCCCTTTTTATCATTTTAAAAGATAACAAAGTTGGTGTTGGAGAGCCACCCACTTCAAAAACCACCCACTCTCCCAATTGATCGACCTTCCCACTCACCCCTTTGTACCAATGCCAACCACGCCCTTATTACTTCTTTGCCACCTACTTTGCTGACGAATCTTGCCGAATAATGTCATTAGCAAGGCCGTAATTCATTCGTAACAGGTGCGTTATTTCTTCTGCTGGCTGCCATATATTTATGGTAATTGGAGTGGGGCCAAATTTAATTTGATCGCAAAAAGGAACGTGCGCGAAAACTCTCACGGCACCAGACTTCACTCTCGCCTCTCGGATTAGCGCGAAAGCGTTTTATGGGTGTAAATTTCGTCAGAGAGTGGCTCGGGTGTTTGCGGAAAAGCTTTTAGCTCCGAAGAGAAAGTTGCGTAATTCGCCGAGTTTAGCCAAATCCGTCAAAAGTCACGGCGAGATATAACTTTAACGAGGGCAAACTGAGTTACGAAAAGTAGTCTCACCTTGTATTCCCCAGCCTTCTTTCTGAGTTCAATGACCTCGTTGTACCAAGGGTCGGCGGAGGGGGTGTTGACCTCTGGCACGGGGCTGTCGCGGGCAATGGACTCCGAGACCATCAGGTCAGCCTCCGGCCGTCGTTTCATGAAGCCTCCGTCCACATATTCGTAATTGGAAAAAGGGCGGAAACGTTTCTTGTACTCGCTTTTGAATTCCTTCCTGAAATTTCAAGAGAGACAGTTAAAAATAATCACGTATATTAAATAAGATTTACTTTAAAACAGAACATTTAGTTTGTTACTTTGATTAATTTGTTAGTTTTCTAAAATTCTACGGTAAATAAAAAAAGAGGGATTTGGGCTAGCCGTTGATCGCACCACTTTAGGGATGCGTCGGGCCAATTTGTTGTCAGTGGATCGATTTTCAGACCCACCTGGCTGACGTGCACTCACTGGTATTAATAGCTCGAATAATGCACCCCATTTGTTATTTGATCAAACCGCACGTCAGCCCCTTCCCCTTCGCTTCGTTGCGCAAAAACAAACAATCAATCGCACTCTGGAAAAATTCTAACAAAACCGACGTTGATTCAAAAACTTTCTTTTTCCCATTCTAATTGGAAAGAAGTTCATTTGAAAGGATTTTCAGCACAAATCCACGATTCGAGACACACATGCAAGGGGCTTGCTTGCCTCTTTTTAGGTTTCTCAAGAGTCTCCTCAAGGATTTTGTCTTCGTTCCCGGCGTCGAGCACGTCTGCGTGCTGTGCGTCGACAAGGGGTTCCAACTCCGACGCGGTCGCTGCAACAAAAAAAGAGTAAACCGCTTTGCTAGCTCACACATACGATCCATTTTTCTCGGCGACTTATTTTTCAGGAAAAAAGCAACTCTGAACTGTCTGGAAAAGAGCCAAAGCTGCCCCCGTGATTGTTTAATGTGCGAACATTTGTGTGTGTCGCTCTGTATTCGGTGAAAAATAACAGACAGCTTTTGAGCGCCTTCGAGCGGAAGATTTGACTTTTTATTGCGCGCTTTTACTTTTAATGCATGGCGCCTGTTTACAAGAGGACAGAGATGTCATGATAACCTTGCGGTGGTTATTGATTGACCAATGGAGAGGTTGGGTCATTGGAAGAGATTAAATTATTCATGTCGAGTAAGAAGCCGGCAAAAATAAACAAGCTTTAGAGTAGAGTCACCTTGGCATTTTTCAAAGAGTGATAAGGCATAACTCTGAGAGAAGTTTTAACAGGATTTTTGCAACATGTAATAATGTTTAAGTAGGCGATGAGGAATTTTTTATTCAATGCTTGCTAGTAAATTATTCGTTGCTCTAAATTGCAAAGTAAGACGCAATTTACAAAAAAAATGTATTCTTGGAGCGCACATTTTTAAGCTTTTTTGCAGGTGGTGAATTATTTCCTCAAAGAGTCAATGGTTTGTTTAGTTATTGCTGATTTTGCAATAATTGTTGAATTAAAAGTTAAGAACTCGTCCTTATTAGCACAGTCTAATCAAGTCTTTACAACAATAGGAGCTATTCTTGTCAATTATTGTAGAATAAACGTATATTTTTACCAACATTGTTGTTAAGACTTAATCTGACTGTGTCAATAAGGAAATATTGCTGGATGTCTATAAAGCTCTTGAATTTTGGTAAAAATAAAAATATCCAAGCTATTATTGTTTGATATTTAAATAAATTTGAATTTTTTACAGAGCAAAACCTCTTCCCTGGCATTGCCTGGAAGTCAACGAATGTGAACTTTGACCCAGATTTTCCCGCCAAAACAAACCACGAGGGGTTAATCAAGGGAGTTGTAATACTGACCTCGATGCTCGTCGGGGCGCTTGACCTTTTGCGGCGCGGCGTGGTGGTGGACGGGGACGGGCGCGTGGGCCCTGAGGGCGCCCATCGAGAGCGACTTTCTCGGCGGCTGGGGGGCCTCCTTGGTCGGCGGGGGCTTTGGCCAGGCGAACTGCAACCGGTATTCGGTGCTGATTCGAGAAGAGGCGGGTCTAAAGGGCGGCGGGAAACTCGAAGTCATCTTTGGCAGGGCCCAGCAGAGAGGTAATAGCGATCAGAAACGACAAGCATGACTGGCATGCGACTAGCGGACAACAGGGTGCGATCGAGGGGTGCGCGCCCTCTTCTCTGACCACCGCAACCCCCTGGCTGCGAGTGGATGGCGGGTGGGGGCTGCTCTCTCTGTCTTGCTCGCGAGCGAGGCCAGCGAGCGGGGCACTTGCATTGATTGCAGCCCCACTCGCCGCCGCCGCCGCTTTCGGGGGTGGGTGAATCGGCTAGGGGTGATTGGCACACTGACATGCAACACGCGTGAGGAAGGTAGGTGCACACAGGCGGATCGATACACACCAGAGAGCGTTTTAATTACACAATTATGAAACCACCCACTGACATATTTAAACGACGCACGTGCGATCGCTTCGCACGCTGTCGTCGACTTTTGAAAAGTGTTTTTAGTCTAGCTCTAAATGGGTTATTTTTATTAGTAAACTTTTGAATTTAAAATCTTACCCGATTAAAAAAATGCTAAAACTGATTTTCCTCTTTAAAACAGAATTAAATTTAAGTCTGTTTGATCAGCTGTTTCTTTTGGAAATTGATAAAAAAAGAAAACCAGTAGTTTTCTCATAAAATTATACCTACAGGAAAACTGTTTTGTCTCAATAGTATTTTTCCCAATATAAAATGGTAACAATTATTGCGTTTTGTTTTGTTTAATATTATCCATGAATAAAAGATAACTGTTGAAAAATTAGTTTCTTTTTTTTTAATTCTTGTGATTAATCAAAAGCATATAAATAGCGTTTAATATTACACAGCTTATTATTTTAACAAGACTTTTTTAATTTGGATTCAAAGAAGTAAATCTGTAAATCTTTCTAGCGGCTTCTTGCGAATATAGATTTTTTTCCTTCAAAATCATCCCTTTGTATGGAGACACGCCACAGTCGATTTTTTCGTTCCCTTTGAAGAGATTGCGATGGTTTTTGTTTCACCGTGACTGCTGTGAGAAAAGAGTCGGAGAGATGAGAGGAAGTCTGACTGGTTGTTTGTTCACGAATGACAGCCCTTTTTATCTCGCCAAACTTTTCCGCAAAGGAAGAAAGATACTTCGGCGAATTTCATCTCAGTAAAGGTCACAAGTTATCAAGTTACACGCATAGCTAGCGAGGAGTCTGTCTGTCATAAATTGGATTACGACCCTTGATTGAATCGATTTTCGATTATTCAACAAAACAAGAGGACTGGGCATTCTTCCAAAAAGGGCTGCTTTATGATCATCACAGTCAAATAAAAATAAAAATCCATAGCAATCTTTCAAAAGGAACCCCAAAATCTTCCAATTTGCTGCACTTAAAAGTTTTTTTAATATAAAAAATCGTGTTTGTGTGGAAAAGGGGTAGTTTCTCGTGCAAGAACAATGACAGTGAACAAAAAAGGTGGCTCTCTTTCGTCTTTTTTTCTTAATCTCTACGGGCTAGACAAGGGACACACGAAAAGACACTGAGTAGTATAGTGAGTGAGAGACAGGTGGCGACACCGACTGAGTCTACTATCAATCAATTTGCCTACAACTACTACTGAGATAGATAGTATAGAGAAGGGTGGTCGGACGCAGCGACGGCGTTTGCGTGGAATTCGCACGTCGCGAGTGCGACCTTTTAATGAAAGAAATGAGTGCCAGGCTCGTCTGCTCTGTCTGTCTGACCGCCACGAAAATCATCGCCCGAGCGAGGGTCAAGCTAGCAAAAAAGAAGTGGTGGAGATACCGTGTCGACGGGCTGCTGCTCTTGCTGCTGCTGCCTGGCGGCCATAATCTTGCTGTACTGCAGCCGATACTCGGACTGGAAGGGTTCGACCAGGTCGGAACCGCCGTAGCGCGTCGGCGGCCCCTCGGACTTGCTGCGCCTCGACGGCCTCATCCGTCGGCCCGTGCGCTCCTCCGACTGAAACACACCACAGCCTCCGCTCAAACAAAACCGCCCCACGGCAACGCATGCAGTCGAATGTTTTATTAAAATATGTTATGATTCACAAATCTGTATAAATTGTGCCACAAAATGTCAAAATTTTCTAGACTATATTTTCAAAACTCAAAACTCATGCGTGCACACTTTTGTAAATCGACGACGTGTCTTCAAGTAATTTAAAAAAATATTCATGAGATGAGTATATTTACAATTAATATTAAAGGAAATTATAAAAGTTTCAAAGTTTCCATTTTTATCTGATTTATTTGAGCCTGATTAAATTTTTTCTCAATATTTTTAATTAAATTTCTAAATTTTCTGTGAAACTTTTGAAATTAGTGTAATCAAATTGTACTTTGAATATTTGTTGCCCTGTTTGGCCATTCACAAACAAAGTTTTATTTTTTTTCCAATTCAGATTTATTTATTCCATTAAATTTTGTTTTAATTGAAAAAGAAAACAACAAAAGATACTTATTGTATTTTTGAATAATAATTTCAAGCAATTTACAACTTTTTCTAAATGTTTTTTATATATAAATATTGTTTTTTGCCTTTAATTTGCTTTTGCGTGATTTTGGTTCAACAAACCCCTGCAATAATAGATGCTAGGCAACCAGACGGTCACTGCTGTCGTGCTGGCTGCATAAGTATTTTTATTTTTCAATACAAGTAGTTTAATTCTTCATATTACCGAGAAACTTTTAAATAAAACTGAAACGGCTAAATCGTTCTTTTTACTTTTTTTTTTTTAGTTTGACAACAGCACATTTCTTTTCCAGGTATTTTATTACTTTGATTCGTACTCTCGAGGAATTCAATAAAGAGCCGTGACGCGGTCAAGTGCAAGAGAAAGAGACGTCTTTTGTGTTGCTAAACAAATTTGAATCGACCTTCAGCAGACTCGGTTTATTTCTGGCGTGCTGCTTTGCGGTAAAAAGCTATTCCTCCAGAGTGGAGGAGGCATCTCGACGCGAGATTAAAAGCCGGAAACTTGAATGGAGAAAAAACGCCGAGTCGACAGAGATGAATCGGCGGGGACAAGATAAAAATCCCATCTCCTAAATTTCACGGCCGACACGAAATCCCAACACAATTTCCACCGATAATTACGGACTGGGATTTGAAAACGTAGAAAAAAAATGAAACTTTTATTTAGTCCGGTGCTTTTGACGACCCACATTTATGCAAAGTCACACGCCCGGAAAGCGAGCAATGTTTATCTTTTTTGGAGTGAATCCAGCGTGCAAATAAATTGCCGCTCCTTTACCTGCCACAATTTTGCAGCTTTACGACCGGCTTTTTTATGGCAACGACGTCCTCAACGATTGCCTTCATGCCGTGGCGTAAATTTTGGCCGTCGTCTCGGGAAACCGAATAGTACGTTTATAAAATTATTTGATATGACTTTTCAATTAAATCTCGGCCTGGTTGGTTCATTGAATTGATAAAATTAATTATTTAAAAAAAATCATGTGTATTTATTTTTCCAACCTGCATTAACAAAAAACAGCGTGAAACAGTTGAACGCACGCTTATCTGTAAAAACTGAAAGTCACCTGGATTTCTGTACACGCAAGTAGTGTGTCAGTCAAAAACGTATCAAGAAAGGCATGCTGCAGAGAAAAGCGGTGTGGAAATATTTATATACGTAACTATTTATAAAACGTTCTGCATTCGTATAATATATGTAAAAACTATGGTTCAAAAATAAATCATAAACTAGGATAAAAATTCTGATGCTCCGACAGATGATTTATTTCAGAATCGCATGCGCTTGTGAGAAATTTTAAAATTTGCATGCTTGGAATACAAAACTGAGTTTGTGTAATAATTATTGCGGAACTTCAGCTGTGCTTTTTCTATTTTGTTTTTTGATCCCCTCTGTATACAATAAGAATAAAAAAGCGTGCCATGGAATAATAATAATAAAAAAATAAAGGGAGAGAAACTGCTGGTCGGCGTGGGGAATGTCTTTCCATTACTCGGGCTTTTTCACGTCAAAAGACTGTACGCGAAACTAAATGATAAAATATATTCGGTTCTCACGACGGCAGAGACAAGGACGAGGCTGACGACGAAAAGCAGTCCTTTGGCAGAAACAGAATGTGGGTTACGCGGGCGAGCAGCACTGCGGCTTTTGACCAATAAAATTCGACAGGGCCTGCACGGCAAAATTTATTTACACGCCAAAATTAAGTGGCGAGAAATTTTTTTCAACAAAAATTATTTTCCCAAAAAAAAAATCAAAATTGAATATAGTTTGAAGCTGTTTAATTGCAATAAATTACTTTCAAATTTTAATAATTGTTTTGTATGGAAAAAACTAGAATTGCCTTCATCCTAAAAATTTATTTAAGGAATAAAAATAACAATATTTAAAAAAAAAAACATTTAGTACTTCAATGATTTTTAAGATGAAATAATTATTTTCAACAAGGCTAAATTTTATTCACGTTAGTTCAAAACAAACCTTAAATAATCACAAAACAATCAGTCTGCGTATGTATCGATTGAAATTAAATTTTTTGCCATTTTTTAAAATTAAATAAATTCAGAAATTTTATTTCTTTCTCAATAGGTTATTCCTTAATTATAATTTTAAAATTTGTTTTTTTTCTTTCAAAAAATCCTCTTAAAATTTAAAATAATAGAGTTGTTTTTCAATTAGAGCCAATCATTTTTGTTACTATGCAAGTTTTGTGACGTTATTAAATGTTATCGTGCGAATTTTCCGCGCCCAATCGATCGTTTTCGGTGCTGCTTTGCACTCTCTCGCAGCGAAACGCGGCGCACATTATCTAGCACATTGTTTGCGCTGCCCCAGTTTTTCGCGCACAACAACAATTACTACTCACTCGCGTCGAGAATGCGTTGTGCCCACTTTCCAAGAAGCCGAGCAGAGCCATTGTTGGAACTCGTCGGACAAGGAAAATTAACGAGGGACGAAAAGAACGAAAGGCAAGGTGCGCACTGCAGCAATTTGACTTGGGAACTGACTGGGACTTATTGTGGAAACCTGTGCGGCACGCCGCGTTGTTTTATCTGCCCTTCCCCTTCGGCGGCTCATTTGCATTCGAAAGCACGGCGGCCTCAACTTTCTTTGCCGGCTAATCAGATCGGCTTGGAAATTGCTTTCCCGACGTCTTGAATGTGCGGTGGCCCCACTAAATGACCGGCGTTAACGGCCAATTGTCAGCCCAAATTAAGATGGTAAAAAAATTAATTTCTCCTTTATTAATATTAATTAATAAAATTAATTAATTTTTTTTCAATGGTTTAAAAAAAGATGAAATTGTATTATTTAGATTCTGATAGATCTGAGCATAAGAATAACAAAAAATATTTTTATTTAAAATCATTTTTAATTTTTTTTTTTTGAAATATTACAAAGCTCTGCACAAATACATCATTTAATACAATTTCATATTAAAAATTAGCATAAATCTACATTTAAATATTATAACTCTATTTATTTATTTATTTTTCCAAATTTTGAAAATATTAACTTACACAAACCAAATATAATTTTCTGAATGGTATCAGCCCCTTTAAAATAAATCCTTCCTTTTTTATCCCATCAATTCCCCAAATACCAACTTAACCCAACCTTCGCATTCCTCCGAGTCGAGGAATCCGCCGAGGAATTTCGCCCAATTGGTCTAATGGGAAAAGCAATAAACCGAACCTCGCCGACTCCTCCTCCTTTCGGCTACTTTTCTTTATTTTTCTTTCTTTCAACACGTTGTAAAAAGTTGAAAGGCCGTAAAAACTAAGCGTTCCCACAGGGAGACAGGATGGATTATGCAACTCGGCCGACATCTGCGTCGGGCGGCTTGCAGAAGTTGCGACGATCGATTTGATCCAATTTCGCTCTGCGTTCCGCGCGGATGGGCGAATCAAACTTTCATTTAATTGTCTGCGCCGCGAGTCGAGAGGGCTACAAAGCGGATAGTCGATCTGCTCGTTAATTTACGAATGAATATCTCGAGATGGTGGCGCGGAGAAAAAAAAAAGATTAAATTGCTGACAGAGAGAACCACTTCACTGCCGGAATTCAACTCTTTCAATATGTACATTTTATGCAGTACAAATCACGAAGGCATAGTTCAGATTGAAGGGTTGAAAAACTGAGTCAAATTTGAAATTTATAAGAAGAAAAGATTAAAAAATCGAAAAACCTGCACCGATTTTATAATTACACGTTAACATTATAAAAATTAATTTCTTTAAAACAAATGGAAGATGGTAAATGATTTTTTTAGTAATTATAAAATTAGAAATATTCATGATAATTACGCTTTTAAACAAAAAGTTCTGAATCGATATATTTATGAGAATTAAAAAAAGCCCAAATTGAATGAATTTGAATGAATTTCTGCAAATTTGTTTCACATTTTTTACTCCCCTCCATCGTCGTCCTGCCGACGTGTGCCCTGTCAAAGGGTACCTGGTGGCGTTGCTGGTGGAATCGGCGCAGACAGAGGAGCAGGTGGCCCTCGGCCGAGAACTGGTGGGCCAACGGATGCCGACGGTTCCAGCCCGTGTTGTTGTCATTTTCCGAGTCATCCTCGGTGCTACTGCTGGTGTTGTTGTTGCTGCTGTTGTTGTTGATGAGGTCGGCCGACAACAGGATGCTGTTCAGGTTGCTGGCGTTCCGGTAGAAGGGCTGCTGGTGGACGTCCATGGTAGATCGAGATGCTGGAGAGAAACTGCTGCGGCGGCTGCCAGCAGGGCCAGCCAGACTCTTTCGGCTCCAGGATCGATCCCTCATCGCCGGCAATCACGCGCACTCGCAGCCCCGGACGACGCCCCCTCGCCCACTCAATGGGGCCCCCACTCGACCCCCTTTTGCTTACTCCACCAGCCAGACACGACACGCATACACACAATATGATGTATATAATTACACGAAAGAAGATGGGGTTTGCCTTTCATGCGTGCAATTAATTGCAGACTGCCAACATCCCTCACAAAATGGACGTTCGCGGTGCAATTTTTGCATCATTTAATTATTTTTTAAATATGACTTAAAATTGCTTACGGAAATTTCCCTTTACTAAATTAGTTAAATAGTTCTAATAATTTAAAGTTATATCTTTTAAATAAAAAAAGGAAAAACTGATTTGTCATTATCTCACCCCTGCCCTTTGTTCCAACTGTTGATCAGTCCATTAGTTTGTCTAGACTCTACAAATGCTTGAAAACTTTGTAATGTCTTTACCTAACTATCAACGGTAAAAAATTAGAACAATAATAAATAAACAAACAAGATTCTCTTTTGATTTTGTTTGGAAAAAAAATAATTGTTCAAAAATTTTGAACGGTTGAGTTCTATAAATTTAAGATTATATAGATTTAAGATTTTTGTTCAAATTAATTATACATTCAAAATTTGAACTTATTTTATTCCAGCATGGAATGTAATAATAAATTAATATTTTCTTAAATAGCTTATTATTTGAAAGTCTTTACAACAATAGACGTCAATTCTTGTGATTATTAGAGACAATTTATAATGCTTTTGGTACCCCAATGTCGTAAATACTTAACTTGCTTAATGTTGCATGCTGAAGTAAAAAACTATGCTCTTATGTTGATTAATCCTCAAAAAAAGGGCAGTCCTAGTCATAATTTTAATCGCATTATTTTAAAGCAGAATTTTTGATATCAAAATATTATATAGCTTTAATATTGATTTTAAATGTTACTTTGCATAATTTTTCCAATAATTGATAGCGTTGTGCTGGAAAGGAGATAAAAATTAGGAAACTCGCAACAGTAAAAAAGTCACTTCAGCTCTATTGATAGTTGAAAACAATTCAAGTCATTTAAATTGCTTGATTGCAAATTAATCTAATTTTGGTAGTAAATTTTGTAAACTTCAATTAATCCGAGTTTTAATATATCTATAGATTTAATTACCAATAATTGCATAACAAAATTTTCACATTTAACCATTGCTAATTTTTTCACTTTAGTGTAGTCGCCATTTTGCTCAATTCTGAAAATTGGATTTTCACCACCTTAACACAACTTCTCTCTCACACACACAGTAACATCAAATAATAAAAATAACAGAGTGAATTTTCCACGTAGCACGAGCGTGAAAAATGACTCTAGAGTCTTCAGAATCCACGCAGGCAGCAAATAGAGCCTGCCGAGTGGAATTTTACTTCTTTCGTTGCCCTGCTGTTGCAAAGCGAGCTCGACGATGCGCGCAGATTCATTGGGCGTGGAGGCAGCAGTAAATCGCGTTTGCATAATTCAGCATTTGCTCGCTAACAAGTTGCTGGTCCAAATCGGGAACGACACGAGAGCAAGAAGAAGAAGAACAGACGACGACCCATTAAAAATTCAACCTTCCGTCGCATAGACAAAAAAAATTGTTTAGCACGAGATTTAGAAACAAAAGAGAGCCAATTTTTGATATTTCAGTTTGAATTTCGTTTTAATAGATGACCCAGATTCGTTAACTTTGGGATGCAGCAAAAAATATAATAAACTACCAAAAACACAAACACGATGGTTATGAGGCTACTTTTTTACCAGGGCGGACTTTCTTCGTCTCCAGTCCACCCTGCTGATGAAGGATGGATTTCGAAAACTAACTACGGGGACTGATTGTATAAAATACTCTGCCAGCTAGGGGTTGGGGTGGTCATGCGCGCAGCGAGGGTGCTATTAATAATAATAATATATACTCGACGGCATATATTTTATCAAGTTGGTGAAAGAGTAAAGAGTTTTAAAAGAGGGTCAAGGGACTGCGGAATGAACTTGTGAGGTACTCACCCTGGCGCGGTCAAAGCCCACGGTTGAGTCGAGCGAGTCGTCGGAGCCTTCGGACATGATGAACTCATTGACTCGATAGGCCAGTTCAGGGTGTTTCTTCTTGCGCGGCAGGTGCGGCTCCCACGCAGGAACGACTGTCGAAATAAGTGGAAATTTGTGTTAAAATTTTTAGTTTGAAATAGGAATTTTATGATTAGATGGGGATATGATAAATGGTGTATAACAATGAAAAAGGATCACAGCAGTCACGAAAAAAAGAATTGAGATTGGAATTTTAAGTAAGAATTTCAACTTTAAAAAAAAGAATCTTTTCAATCTGGGAAGTTTGAGCAAAGTTTTTGCTATTAATGGCACTATTTTGTTCAACAATTCACTTTCTTTCAAATAGATTGTTATCCAATAATTGTATTTAAACAATTGCATTGTATTAATTGGATGAATAAACAACTGTACTATTAGATTGATTGGTTAAAACCGTTAAAACTTTTGTTGTTTAAAAGAATACTATAAAATAATGAATAAATAGGAACAAATAATGTGCAAATTAATTTTTCAAGTAATAAAAATAAAAATTAAATGCTATCAAATTCTCAGTTTCTTTGTAAATAAAATCTCAATATGACTTTTTATCAATTAATAATTTAGATATTTTTATTAACATTCTAAATAACCTTTTGCTGAAATAAATTGGAAGATTTGGGATTTGGAAGTTAAAATCTAAAAATTTAAATATAATTATTCAAAATAAAAATCTTCATCCTGGCTTAAAAAATGGCAGCAGACAGGTGCTACCGGCGTGTTTTTCTCGCGTCTGCTCCGTATGACGTCTCGGCCGCCGACGGAAAAGTGGCATATTTGTTTGTAAATCATTAGAATATACACAGCGTCTGGTGTGCGGCATGTCGCTTTGTGCACATAGTGACGGACGAGTCAGCAGCGCTGAGTCTGCAGATCGCATCTTTTCATTCAAAAGGCAATTAAGAAACAAAGGAGCTAATGAAAGAGAGCAGACTGCTCCATTTTTAAGAGAGCGCCTATTCCGCCCGAGAGCCTCTTTCGTTACCCTCGGAACAAAACGAAACCCTTCTGGAAAACTATTTTCGTGCGAAGAAACTTGGAATGGCCAGAATTACAGAGAGAAGGTTTTCAATTAATCCGCTATTTAACTTTAACTTTTGCAGTAAAAAAAAAAAAAAAGATAAAAGTGGGCAATTAATTAAACGAAGAAGAGCTCGCAGAGAAATAAAAATAAAAAGCCGCCGCCTCTTAAGCAAATAAGACAATTAATAAATTGTCTGTTTGTACGACGGGTGAGGCTTTTGAAAGGAGGCGTAGGTTGTTCTTATCTTATGGTTTCATTGCAATAAATTTCGTTGAAAAGTCAAAGATGAGTCTTGCCGACTCTGGCAGTTGCAAATTGCAATTTAAAGACTGGCGTAGGGAGTTCTTATAATTCAAATCTGCCGCGCGTAAATCGCATTTTAATACCGAGTAAGAGGCAATAATTCTGCCATTTCGCTTCCGAGTACATTCTGCAAAGTGAGAATAAATTTTGCCCTCACTTTTAGGTTCACACGTGCGGTACGTTTCAAAGAGTCTCTCTCGCACTCACGACTTTTCGGACGAGATGGAATCGCCGCAGTGAACTGGAACGACAATGGCCCGGCAGCAAAGAGAGGACAAAAAGGTCGGCAAAAAGAGATTGCTTCTATGTCAAATCTGCTGGCCTGGTTACACCACGTGAAAAATCTACGATTAGCTTCACGGATCTTTGATAACATGCCATGGTTAAATTGTTCAACAAGAAACGTGCTTTACCGTCAAGCAAAAACTACAATATCAAGTATCAAGTTTAATTTATTCAGTAAAATTATAATTATCAAAAGCTAGATTTTTGTTCAAATTAATTTTTATCATTTTCATTCAGCCACATCAGTACAAAATATTAATAATAATAATAATATTATAAAAATTTAAAAATTTGTAATTTTATAGAAAAAAATAAATATCAGTTTAAAATATTATAATGAACTGCAGCTGAAATGATTCTAATTATTTAAATACAACGTTAAATTAAGAAGCTGTATACAATTAATTTCGTTTTTTTTTAAAGAGAACGTAAAATAATTTAATTAATAAATATTTAGTATTTTGTCACATAATTAATTGCTGCTTATTGAAATTTTTATTATTCAACACAGTTAATAATTTTAATTGAAATTTTTCTCTTGGGAGAGTTGAATAATAAGATCTGGGTGTCTCAATTTTTCTCATAGGAAAACTATTCCAGTAGCAATAAAGTTCCCCTTCGCGAAATTTGACACCAGAAAGTGAGAACTATTATTAAATTCTGTATAAATGCCATCCGATATACATGCCCTTTACTTCATTCCAGGTAGTATACCTTTGGTTACACACATTTCGACATGCTTCGCTCGCCGATTACTTGTATAACACGCGCACCACCGTTCTAAATTTAAATTCGACGTCATCATCCATACAAAGTCGAGCTTTCCCAGCGGAAATCGCCACTTTAGAAAATAAAAGTGCGAACCCCTCCTTGGCTCGGAGGCAATCAATCACTTTTGCCGCTCCATTACCTCTCCGGTCGTAAATTAAAAATAAAATTTTAAATGACCGCAAAACGTTTTTTCTAAACTTTCAATAAAAGAGTAATTATTTATTACTTAGTTTAAAATGAAATTTAATTTTAATGAAAATTTTTTGAAATTTGGTCTTTACGTACAAATTTGGAGCAAATTCCTCTGAAGCTGCAAAAATCCAGCGGAAGCTGCAACGAGACGAATGGGAACGCGGGTCCGGTGCACAGCACTGAAATTTCGTTTTTTCGAGCTGGCTGCTCTGGCGAACAGATTGGCGTCGACTAGCCGGCGCTGCCGCTCATTCAGACTCACAGAGAGCGGCAGTGAAGAGAGGGAGATGACGAGCAAGCCGCGCGTGAAGCTTTGCCGAGTTGAATAATACCCATATCGAGTAGCGGTGTTACCGATTTATTTCCGTCAGAAATTTGCAAAAAAACAGCAACAACGCCTTTCACGGTTTGCTTTCGTGCAATAACGATTGAAATTGAGACTTGACAGAAATTCTAAACTTCACATTTTATACAACTTTGGTTGCATAATAAATTGTGTTTTTGAACTCCGAGAAAGAAATGGAATCATTTTGCACCTGTTTGGAGCGTGAAATTGCAAATGCGTGGGCGCAAAGCGAGACAAATTAATGACGTAAGAGATAAGAAAAGATAAAAGTAATAAAGAATAAATTATTTTCAGCAGCCCAAAATTCCAAAAAAATTTAATAAACCATCAAAATTTACTTTTTTAATAGTTCACAAAAATGAACGAATATTATTTTGCCATTTATAAATATTTCTTTTGAAACAGCTACAAATTTTCAATTTTCCTCGTTCAAATATAAGGAAAGATTATTCTTAAATAAACCACTTCCTAGTAATAATTTAATTGAGCATGGAGATTGAAACGCCACAAATGCGTGTAGAATTTATGTTATTATTGTTGAGGTGTGTTTATATTGTTTCTCCTTCCAACACAATTCTGCCGGACTTTACAGTGGAGTCGTGGTTTCCGAGCCGATTTTCTCGCGATAAGGTGGCTGAGCAGCTGAAACGGTTTATCGCTCAGCCAGAAATCAGTCATGGGTGGTAGAGCGCGCACTCGTTTTTTGCTTTGTCTCATGAATGTACTTTGGAATGGGAACGAAAATAAGCCTCCCAACACAAATCACACGCAAGACAATGTGACAATCATCGGAAACCTCCGCAACGAATTAACATCTTGCCTACGCCCTCCACCTCCACCTATCACTTACAATTACATTCAAATTCTCGATCATTTGTTGGGGTGAAAAATTTGCATAAATTCATATCAAATTGATTGGAATTTATACAACATAATTATCTAATTCAAAACAAAAATAAAATTCTTTAATTTTTTAATAATTTCAAAAAAATAGGACTCCATGATATGAGCAGTCTGAGGGGTTAAAAGTTAAAATTTTATTTTCTAGATAATTTTAAAATGAATGATTTTGAGATTTTAAATTCCTTTAAGTTGAAAAAAAAATGAATATAGGTTACAAAAATTATGATAACTTTAATGTCTGTAATGAATGAAGAGTTTAATATAATTAATAAAAAATAAATAATCATTTTAGTTAAAGTAAAAAATTAAAAACAAAAATTATTGATAATCTATAGTAAATTTATCAGAAATACAGGAGTCAGGATTTCTTGTGTTCAAATTTATTATTCTTACAGACAAAATTTTACTATAGTTTTGTTGAATAAAATTTTAATTTCCATGGCGTTCGGAGCTCAACTGGAAATTTTCCTCCGTCAACCTCCGAGTGCCATCTGTGCCGAGCTCGGCAAAATTCGCGGAGTTCAATGCTGCCCCACGGTGCGGCGGGCTTGTCTACTTTCAGGGGTGCTTGTCTTAGTGTGTAGTCAGAGCGAAATTGCAGTAATGAAATATTTAGCCGGCGAAAACGAATTCCAGCTCACCATCAGAGGAGCGAATTCAGCCAGTGTCATCAATTATTTATTAACCCTCCTATTTTCGGCCACGTGATATCTGCGAATCTCGTTTGAACGAACGACCTATATCGCATAGGACGATCTCAACTTTTCGTTATATTTGGTGCCGTCTGCGATTCGACCCGGCGAAAGGGCACGGAGAGGTCAAAACACGTCAGTTATAAAAAAATAAATTGTGTAAATTTTGATCAGTGCAATTCTTTTTCACAAATAATGAAGTGACTCATTTTTTTGTGTGAATAAGCTGAAAAAAGAAACCAAGTTGCATCAGTTTTGATTCTCCAGCGTCGCTATGGAAAAAGAGACACTGCGCGCGACTCGGCTGCTAAAGTTCATTGAAGTCCATACAGGCAAAAAAGGCTAATTAGCTTATGAAAGGATGGAGATTAATGTCACAAGCACCATTCAATCTGACAACTGGCGCTTGCAGGACTTGAACGAGCAAACTAAAAGGCTGTCAGCACATGACCTGATAACTGGCTGATAACATTCAAAAATATGTACTTCAACAGGCACACAAAAGGTTCTTTTTCATGGAAAGCAAATATTGAAATAAATCTTTATGAGCTTTTGAGAGTCACCTTGAAAAATTTATTGAACATTGGCTTATATTGTAAGACCTGTGATTTTTTCAACTAAAGGAATTTTAATTTTTTCAATCGTTAGGATAATACAATAAAAAATATTAAAGGACATTAGCAAAGAAGAAACAAAATTATTATTAATTTTTAAATTGAAGACTTTCAAATAAGGAAAGGATAATTTTACTGACGATCACGTTATGATAAAATCACTGAAAAGGTCAAAATTCGAAAGAAATTGATAACAGATTGATGATGCAAATTTTTTTTTGAGAAAAATGCGATTAAAGAAATTAAAGTGGCAGTGAAAGATATTTGTAAATAATTAAAACATTTAAAAAAACCACGAGATGTACTGATTTTGAAGGTTTTGTCTCCTTTCGATGATGCCAATGTTGAGAACGAATTTTTGATTTAAAGTGCTGCAATCGTATTTTAAAGACAATTCTCACTGAATAATTAATAATTTTTCATTGTTAGTTTTCGGCAATGCCAATTTTTATAAGGCATTTGAATTTTATTAAAAAATAGCTATGCAGCTGGTTTTCAGTGACCATTTCTTAAAAAATTGAAATGAATGATATTTTACACCAAATATAAATAATTATAAGCCCCAAAATTATTAATTTTAATTATTTTAATGGAATATTATAAACAAAATGCAACGCGGAAAAAGTAAAACAATTTTTTTATAATTAAGACGAGTTTGTGAAAAGATATATTTGCAAATTAACGCCTTCATGTGTGCAACAATTGTAATTGTGCTCGAAGCATGAAAACACACACAAAGGCGCGAGAAAAGAGTCAGAAAGTTGAGTGTTTCCACTTAAAGGGGATGTTTGCGGGACGAGAGCTGCTAAAACAACGCACAGACAGACCAGACGCAATCAATAAATATGCTCATTCGCAAGTCCAATAATGCGCGCGGGGCCAAACAAAGAGCCAGGCTTTAGGGCTACTGACGACGAATATAATTATTTCCACGGTCGTAATAACCGCTTTGTTCCGAGCCAAAACACACTCTGAGCGCACTCACACACACAATGCACTGCATTTTTAATTATTCGCACAAACCTGCGCGCGCTTAATACACCGCCGGCAGCCACCGATGAATGGCGCCGCCGCGGTCGACATTATTTTCGGCCGCACTTTTTTCCCTGCTGCATTGTTGTGCCAATCCCTGCGGCCACTATTTCACTGCCAGTTCGGACAATTAAATATGAATTTTGTCAGCAGTTATTACTTTGCAAAAACAAAGTAATAAATTAAAAATGAAATCGAATGAAAAAGGAGTTTTAAGCTAAATTTTTCATTTCATTGAGCAAAAACAACTTTATCAGTTTCGAACACTATTTAAAAAAGTTGCAATAAAAATGATTTTGGTTTTATTTTTGCCACACCTTTTTTTGTTAAGATTTTTCAATTCTGATATATTCAAACATCGTTGGAGGAAGGAGGATTAATTAAAAGAATAAATAATTGAAATTTAGTCATTGAGTACCAAATAGACTAATAGGGTGATAAAACCCATTTTTCCCGTGTTCGTGAAAAATTCATTATTATTTATTGAAATCAATTTGCTGGCAAAACGTGGTGCCACGTGAGGGCACTTAGGTTGAAACGCACAGTCGGCGCTATTATCGGTTGGGCACACAGTCATTCTCTCGGGCAAAATCGATTTTGTTTGCGGGCGCATTCAATTTGTTCGTACAAACACGTACGTATTTCGCAACGCAACAAAATTTGCACAGTGTGCGAACCAACTTCATCTCTCAGCAGCAGCTCGATCTTCCCATTAGCGACGGTTCGCCGCATTCTAACCGAGGTGCAAATTTTATCTTGGAGCGCGAAAGTGCTGGCGGCGGCGAGAGAAGTTTCCTAAGCACGCTCCAACGGATTTCCCACCCGCTAACCCCGAAGTGATACCTCTCATTGTAAAATAATAATAACTTCTGCGATAGTTGGGGGTGGTGGAGTTTCTTAGCAGCTCCAGATTGAATAACCAAGATTGGATCTTCAAATGAAAGTTTTTAGACGTTGATAGAAGAAATTGATCACTTCAGAATTCTCCTCGAGAAAGACACTACTTATTTATTATAAATCGGGTTTTAATTATGAATTATTCCGCCCATAATTAGCCGTGCTCTAAAATCAGAAAAAAATTGAAAGAAAAAAAAAACGAAAAATGAGTTCATTATAATTCCTTTGTGTATTTTCTTTCAATTGGAAGTATTAACAATAATAATAAGTCCTTTTTTGCAAAGTATAAATAAAAACAGGAAGGAAATTTGGAAAAAAAAATTTTGCAGTGCGCAATAAGTTTAGATCTCCAGAATAATAAAAACACAAATACAAAGCTCATACTTAAAAATTCGAAGTGTTTAAAATGTTACTATTCAAATTATTTGATATAAAATATGATTTAAATAACAAAAGAAGCTATAGAAAAAATCTTTTAAAGTACATAAATGAAACATTTTATCTAATTTTTTGTAATGATCTTTGTTTTTTTCCCTCAATTTTGTTAATCAAGATCGTGGAAGGTTTAGCAAATCTTCTCCAATCTTCTCTAGTGGTGTTGCCATTTTTTCTAAAAATTATTTTAAAACAAACTTAAACAATTTGATTGAAGCAATTAGGCAAATAAACAATAACAAATACTAAGAATAAGTGTTGTATTGGGCAAAATATGCCTTGGTGATAGATCAATAAATATTATTTGGATATAAATGTATTATTTGTTTCTTCTAGCTGCAGAAAAAACGCAAAGGAAAGAAACGATAATAGCACAATATTCCTAATGGAAGTATTCATTTTTATAAAACGCATTTTTACTTTCGTTTTTCAATCAATAGTGGAGCCACACACAAAAATTATATAAAAAGGCCACATAAGTACTTCAGTTTGCCATCAAAATGAGCCCTTTAAGCAAATGCCTGGCACCCATGCTTCTGGCGTTCAAGTTAACAGGAGTTTTGCCACTGGAGTGGAAAAAAGGGTTTGAAGTTGCAGGGAGAACTCGACTTTTTTGCCTTCTTGTGC